CAGGTAGCAAAGTAGTTCGCAGTTGGGTGCAGCGGGTCGTTAGGTTTAGGACTTGTGACCAGAACTGTTTCAGTAGTGGGCATTGCCACCATATGTGCAGCAGGGTGCCTCGTTCTCGCTGGCAGCGCCAGCATGTGTCTGTCATATTCGGGTAGCTGTGTTTGAGTCTCGTTGGTACAAGATACCACCGGTATAGTAGTTTACGGGAGAGTTCTGTGTGGGATGTGCAGAGGGTTAACTTGTTGTTGGCGCGGAAGATATTTTGCCATTGTTCATCTGTGAGTTCGTGCCCTATGTCTTTTTCCCATGCTATTCTGAAGGAGGGTAGTTTGCCTTGGGTGACTGTTTTTTCAGAGGTATAAATTATCGAGATGATTTTTGTTGCCGGTTTCGTTTTAGTGCATATCTCTGTCAGTTTAAGCCAGTGTGGATCAGGTGAGCGCACGGTTTGATGCGATTTATGTAGGTTTATCCATGATTGTAGCTGGATGTAGGAGAAGGTCGCTGTCGTTGGTATTCGGAATTCTTCACATAGATCTGCGAATTGCTTGAGTTCGGTACCTTGCAACACTTGCGACAATGTGAAGATGCCATGTCTGTGCCAAAGTTTGTGGTTGAAGTTCGGGATAAGATGCTGGATCGATTCTATTGGGGTTGCTGGTGACATGGGTGACATTTTCCCCTTGTTTTTGCGGTAATCGTCCCACACAGAGAGGGTAAGTGTGGTTGTCGGTAGCATTTCTGACGCTTTGGGTCTATGGGTTGGCGGCATCCATGCCACGGCGGGGAGTGAGATGCCTCTGGCTCTATGTTTCTCCAATTCAACCCATGTTATGGGAGTCGCGCGGTGAGACGCTGCAATAAGTGGGGCAATCTGCGCTGCTCTATAATATCCTTTCACATCTGGTAGACCCATCCCCCCTTGGGCTCGTGCAGAGACCATCGTGTTTAGGGCTACTCTTGGTTTTTTGTAGTCCCATACGTAATCATTTATTGAGCTTTGCAGGTCCTTTAAGTACTTGCTGGGAAGCTTAAGTGGGAGCGTGCGGAACATATACTGAATTTTTGGTAAGATCACCATTTTTACGGAAGCTATCCGGCCCGTCCAAGATATATATTTGCCCCTCCAGCTGTGCATCAGAGTTCGAATTTCTGTGAGGAGTTTGACATAGTTGGCTTTGTATAGGGAGTTCGTGGACGGTGTGAAAAGGATGCCTAAGAATTTGATATGATCTCGCCTCCAGTCATAATTAAAGTTAGCTTTAAGGATCGATAGTTCTTGATTTGGGATGTTGACGCCTAGGGCGAGTGTTTTTGAGATATTCAATTTGTAGTAGGAGCAGGCGCTGAATTGGGAGAGGATTTTGTGGAAGTTGGGCAGGGATATGTGTGGTTGTTCTAAGGTGAGAAGGATATCATCCGCAAATAGAGATAGTTTATATTCTCGGTTTTTGATTTTAATTCCGTGTATATTGGGGTTGTCTCTGATCAGTTGGGTAAGGGGTTCTAGTGCCAGGATGTAGAGGAGTGGGGAGAGGGGGCAGCCCTGTCTGGAGCCATTAGAGATGTGGAAAGGTTTCGATATGAATCCCCCGTTCACCACCTTGGCCGTCGGTGAGGAGTAGAGTGCCGTGATAAGTGCTAGAAATTGAGGGGGGAACTCAAAGGGCCAGTGCAGCCTGTCAAAGGCTTTTTCAGCGTCTAACGATAATAGGAGGCTAGGGGTTTTATTCCGTTGGATTTCGTAAAGTAGGTCTAGTGTTTTTCTCGTGCCGTCTACCACCCACGAATCCCACCTGATCTTCCTGTATCAGAGAAGGTATGATATGTGCTAATCTGTTGGAGAAGATTTTTGCTATGATTTTTACATCCGTGTTTAACAGGGAGATGGGACGGAGGTTTTGGCATCTATTGGGGGGTTTCCCTGGCTTAGGGAGGGTGGCAACATGGGCCATTAGCATCTCTTTTGGCAGTTGGCCTGTCAGTGTGGTGTGGTGGTATACCCTTTGTAAGTAGGGGGCTAGGAGTGGCGCGAATTGCTTATAGTAGGCATTGGTCATGCCGTCAGGGCCTGGTGATTTCCCAGGGGGTAAGGAGCTAATGGTGTCTATTATTTCTTGTGTGGTGACCTGAAGTTGTATGGCGTTCTTTTGTGTGTCAGTAAGAGTGGGAAGCTGAGTCTTCGCAAGAAATTTTTCGATTTCTCTTGTGTTTGGTTGGTGTAGCGTGGGGTCTGTGCAGAGGTTATATAGAGAGTGGTAGTAGTCAGCCATATTGTCGTTGATGTCTTGCGGGTTGTATATTTTGTCGCCCTTGGCGGTAATCAAGTGTGGGATTTTAGAGTTGGATTGTTGCTTTTTAAGCATAGTGGCCAGATGTTTCCCAGCTCTGTTACCTTGGGTGTATGTTCTCAATTTCAGTTTGGTAAGGATGTGGGTCGTTTTTTCCAAAGACAGTGCGTTAAGTTGCTTGGTGATGTCCTGTATTTCCTCAGCGTGGGCGGTGGAGGGGGTTAGGAGGTGAGCTGCGGTGGTATCCCTCAATTTTCGCAGGAGGTCTGTATGGTGTTTTTCTCGCTTGCGTTTCAGGTGGGATGCGTGGCTGATTAGTAAGCCTCTCATCACCGTTTTATGGGCTTGCCATATTGAGAATATGGAGACATCTGGGGTGTCATTTATCTTGAAAAAATCTGTTAAGTTTGTTGTCAGCAGCGCTGTGAATGTTTGGTCATATAGCAGTGAGTCCTAGAGGCGCCATGGCGGCTTACCTCGGTGTTGGTAGGCGGAATGTAAGGTCATTGTTATCGGGGCATGATCGGACCACACTATATTGCCGATGGAGCAGTTTTCTATGTGTGGGAGTAACGTGCCTGAGGCGAGAATATGGTCTATTCTGGAAAAGGTTTTATGTACTTGTGAGAAGAACGTGTACTCTTTTTCTGAGGGGTGTTTTGTTCTCCATACGTCATATAGGCTATTTTCATGGATAAGCTTGGTGAAAGCCTTGGTGTGGGACCTGAGAGTGTGGTGCCTTGTCGACGTGTGTGGGACGGTTGAATCCATATGCGTGTCCATAATATGGTTATAGTCGCCACATATGATCTTGGGGTCATTCACATCTTCAGGTAGTTTGGCGAGAATTTTGTGTAAGAAGTTGCGTTGTTGTTCGTTTGGGCTATAGAGGCATACTATGACATATGGGTGCTCATTTATTCTACAGTGTAGAATTATATACCGTCCCTGGTTGTCTTTTTTGACCCTGAGAGTTTCTACAGTTAGAGAGTTATGTAACAGTATGGATACGCCTCTGGATTTGGAGGTGTGGGTGGCGTGGTATTGCGTGGGGTATTCTCTGAGGGCGAAGGTTGGGACTTTAGTAGAAACGAAGTGCGTTTCTTGTATGCAGACTATGTCCGCCTTGGTTTGTTTAATGTCATTGAGGAGCATGCGTCGTTTATGTGGCGTGTTAAGGCCCTTGGTATTGTGCGAGTAGATTAGCATGTTCTTTGTTGTGTGTTATGAGGTGTGAAGAATCTGTCTGGAATGTGTGCAATCCGGGTTGGTTGGTGTGTGATATAAGTGGTAAGTGTTGGTGGAGATGGATAGGTTGCGGGAGGGTGGGGAAGTATTGTATAGGTGGGGGGTATTATGTACAGGACCTAGTGGTCTGGTACACTATATGTACCTGGGGGATAGGAGCAAGAGCTTCCGGATACGTGGCTAAGCGGGCTCCTATTGATTCTTAATAAAGTAGAGCTGAAAACACATAAATGAGGCTGGCAAACAGTAAAGCGAAAACATTAACATTTAACAATAACTTTGGTTGCAGAAGACAGACAAGGATCATTGCTTGACCTGGCGCTATGGAGTTGAAATACTCTGAGGCACTGTGTGTTAAGGGATAAGGGACTTCCTCACGAATTGTGTGAGCGTGCCCATAAACGGGTTATCTGCTCAGGGGCAGATCTCGCATTCTCCCAGGTGGGGCGACTTTTATGTTGTATAGTGTCGCTGTCCCAAGTGAAAATATTATTGGGCATACCCAGCCCACAGGGAGGAGGGAAGGAGGAGGTGATAGGCATGCTGTAGAGGCTCTCGGGTCCAGTTGGGTGTTGGCCTAGTGTGCCAGGGTGGCTCTAGGCGTCCGCTTTAAAGGGGTGATAAGAGGCTACATGCCTGTGTACGGGTTGGCATCTGTGGTATAGCCTGGGGCGTGCTTATAGGCATTGGGGGGGTGGCTCATAAATCGGTGGTGTCATAAAACATGGGGTCCACTATGCGGCCAGTGCTATTAGTTCGGTTCTATTGTGCCTTACTAAGTCTTGTGAGAGCTTTAATGCTTGAGGGTTTTGGGTTTGCGTGCCTCTGCTGTTAGCCGGGGGGCAGGTGACTGATGTAAAAATGTTTTTTTTTGTTGTTTTTTTTAAGCTTCATGGAGCACAATATAACATCAGAGGTTAGTGTATTCCCTTGTTAAGCATAACTTCACAATTTATATTGCAGTTGCAGTTATATTGCAATAGAAAGCTGGGCTCCCAGCAAGATGACTCAGGGTAGGGAGAGGAGCGTAGCACATGGGCATGGGCATGGCGTGCATAGACCTTGGGGGGGGGGAAAGGTGGCACGTAAGGTATGGAATTTAGGCTCGCTAGTGGCGTTTACCCCATGGGGCTTGCGCCCACATTACCTCAGTTACGTTGTATATGGGCCGGCAGTGCCTGGTGATGGGACCGGGAAGGTATATGAGTAAGTATCCTCCGAGCTCACACCCTCTAGCCTCCCGCCTATCCCAGGGTCCTCCCGGGGTGTACCCTTCCATATGATCTGGGTCGCCACAGGCACTGGGGTGTAGAGAACGGGCGGGGTGGGTAGGGCTCGGAGACAGCGCAAGGTAGCTAACATCTACCTACGAAAGCGCATTGAGTGACAGAGAGAGACAAGCGTAGGTAAGCATTAAATGATACTTGCGTCAGGTGCATTATGTTTTTGCAAAGTAGTGGGTCAGTCCATGGCTGCATTGCGGCCTGGGCGGCGTTTATCATGTCGCGGTTCTCCTGGTGGTTCTTTCAGTAGGCCCCATTTCTCAATAAGCTGTAGTCCGTCTTCTGGGGATGATATGATGGACGTCTTCCCGCCTTTGGTGAGGATCAATTTCGTGGGAAACCCCCACCGATATCGGATCCCATGGTCGCGGAGTGCCGTGGTGGTCTGGGTGTAGTCCCTTCTGCGGCGGAGTGTAGCTGGCGAGAGGTCCGCCATGATGCGCACCGATGGGAAGTCGTCATGGGGGTCCCTTCTGTTTCGGTGAGAGCGTAGGACCAGCTCCTTGATGTGAAAGTAGTGGGCCCTAAGCAATACGTCGCGTGGTATGGAATCTGGCAGGTTTTTGGGTTTTGACACCCTATGTATCCTGTCCACCAGGAGCATGTCCGCGGGAATGTCAGGAGCGTAGGCTCTCATTAGGCCTCTTGCATAGGCTTGCAGGTCGTCTGGTAGAACTGTCTCTGGGACTCCGTGGAGTTGCAGATTGTTCCTTCGCGCACGGTCTTCATGGTCCGCCATGCGTTCTTCCATGGCTGCCAGCTTGTGTTGTATCGCCTGTAATTGCTCTGAAGTGGCGGTTTGCACAGTCTTCATCTCCTGATGGCGTTGTTCCATGGTAGTTGTTCTCGCTGAGAGATCTCTCACCTCCCTCTTAATTTGGTCGGCGGTCGTTTGCCAGGTGGTGATAAGTTTTTCTGCCATTGTCTCCATTGCCTGTTCGAAGTGGCTCCGTGTCAGGCATTCCACGGGCATAGAATCCTCCGATGGCGCTGGGGAGGGACTGGGAGCAGTATCGTCTGCGCCCTCTTGTCCGGCTGCTCGTGGCGGGTCCGCCGCAGAGGAGGATTTGTGGCCGAAAAAATTCATTTTTTCGGCCTTAGAGGTAGCCTTCTTGTTTTTAGAGGTTGCCATGAGGAGTTTGGTGGTTGGCAGGTTTTCAGCTCGGGGTAAAGGTTCTTTTATAAGGAGCCCTCGTGCCGGAGCAAAATCTCAGACGTCCATCTTGCTCGGCGGTTAGCCACGCCCCCCCGGATTTTAACTTTTAATAAAGGCTGTTTACATTGAGAGCTGGTGTTCTGCATACTTGTACCAACATTGAAGTCCTGGTCTGTGGATCAAAAGCTGGATCAGTTAGAGCAGGCTTTTACTGCTCTCCCTTTGTGAGTGATACTCCTATTTTTATATTGTTGGTTCTTATACTTATGTACAAACAATATTATACTATGCCTCTCCATTTTATATCTCTCTTTACATATGTTCTTATGTGATTTGGAGAATCAAAGGAGATATACACTTTCCTTGTAAGTTATTATTTGGATATTGAATTTTTCCACCATCACATTTGCAATTTTGCACTTATGTTACACTGAATGTGATTACATTGTACACACACTCTGTGTCTTTGCACAAATTATTGCACTATTTGCACTTTCTAATATTTAAAGGTACAGCGCAACTATTTTTGCTTTGAATTTTTGATGCAATACCTACTGGAATAAATTACCCTCTTTTTTCACTTATTAAGTCCTTGGAGTGCATTTCTTTTCTTTTGTTTATATATCTTCAACGCGGGATTGCACCTAGGCTAAATTGGATTATTTACACGAAAGGGTGAATGCCAAGAAACATTTTTTTTATATATATACCCCATAAAAGAACGCTAAAATTTCCACATCCACTACACCTTGACACAATCTACAGTAAGAAATTTTACCGGGAGCTTCCAGCTCTCTAGCATTAGTAGTGGAGGACTGAAGTAGTGATCACAGGACTTCATGTAAAATGTCAAACTGTTTAAAATTTATTTGACTGCATACCATGGGGCAATTGACTATGTATAATGGGGGCACCAGGGCACTTCAATTATTATTCCTATATTAAAAAAAATATACTGTGAGAGTTTTCCCTTCAATGTCCTTGTCACAGACTGGCAAGAAGTGTTGAGACAGGGATAGAAATATATTTTTTACAGTGAGCAGTCAACACACATAGTCTTCTCCAATGACTGCAATGTGATCGTCCAACGCCCTAAGGAACCTGTTAGAATACATTAACATCTGCTAAGAACGTGTAGTGTCAGAGGTTAACCTAAACAGAAGCAGGAACTAGTGTTAAGTTGTTGGAGAGTGTGTTCTCCATCTCAGAGGTGAGAAGTAGTTAGAAGACTAATTGGTTATATTGATATAGGAAAAACAATTGTAAAAAGGTGGATTTACTTTTAACACTGCTCAATTGTATTAATGTATCCATAGAAGAAACTGTTAATAGTGCAGTGGCCCATTAAAACATGCCATTAATTTCAACAGGTATAAAATGTAAAAAAATAAAACGCTTGACAAAGATTTTAAAAACATAGGAAAAATTCTGTTTTTAGGACAGCCGAATAATGCGTTTCGTGATGCATTGCATGCATTCTTTGTGGGTTCCTGTATTTTTTTTTTTTCCAGGAACTGCTGTTTGTACAAAAGCTACAATGTATTTCTCACTTAAATAAAAAGATTTAGAGTTAGTGACTAAACTTTGAATTTTCACAAATTAAATCTGAATGAAAAAAACCGAGGCGAAAATAGTCAGTCTGGAAAAATACTTCGACTTTTCACAACTTGGCTGTTTTTGCCATTCGGATGTAATTTTCGTGAACTCACAGATTAATAAATAACCCTGATGGGAGTTGATGCACTGAACTGGGAATTGAAAATAAATAACAAATGAATTGAGAATTTTTGGCAAAAACAGACAAAATATAAAATATTCTCCAACTCAACTAATATAACCAAAAATGTGCAATTTGTTTTTTAATTTTCCACAAACCCCTTTTCAGAAAATAAACCACATTTAAACATTCACTGATATAATTGTTTCCATTTTTCCTCCTCTCTACACGCTCTCCTTCTGCTGACTGCAAGCTGCCGAGGCAGGAGATGGTAACTATAATTGACAGGAAGCCAAGACCAAGGAACTTAGTTCAAGGACAAAGACAAATACCGTAAATGTCTACATTTAATTTTATTAAACATAATAAACATATTTTTGTTGAATATATGCTATAAGTAAACATATTTAAAACAGTGCAAGAAAACACAGAGAAAGGACAATAACTCAAGGTAGTTTTATCACAAGTGGGTAATTACAGAGAGAACCTTTCCATTCCCTTATTAGACTGACCTCATGCAAGATGACAGTCCAAGTCAGAAATGTCAGCAAGTTCTCTGCCTGAGAGATACTGCAACCCCAGACAATAGTTTCTGCTTTCATTGGGCTGCCTTGGCATTCTTACACAGGGTTATTATCCACTATTAGCAACAATTATGCCGAATATTGAATTTGAATAACTTCCTTGGTCCTCTCTTCAGCTCCTGAAACATGAATCTACCAGGAGTCCTATCATCTCTGTACTCCATCGCAGGAGTAAGCAACCTTTGGCCCTCCAGATGTTAAGGACTACATCTCCCTTGATGCTTTGCCAAGGGTTGTAGGACCATTATGGAGATGTTGTACACAACATGAGTGCCGATGGTTTCCTACCCTTGCTTCTAGCGCATGCACAAGAGTACAAACCTGGCCTGGGGTGTATAGTATGGCAGTAGGATTCTCCATAGTCTCTGGCACATAGAGATGCCTTAGGGAGCACATTAAGATACATGTTCCCGTCAGCCATCAAATGTGGTAGGAGATTGAAAATGTCAAAGCACAGAAATTGGAATCTGATTAAAGTTTTGCCTTTTGTGATAAATTGCCACAGATTAGTATTTGCTTTTATCTTATGTGCATCGTTTTGAACTGGAAGTTCAGTGGAAAGTGCAGCTCACTGAACCTAGTAACATGGAATGTACCGGCTAAGATACATCACTTAGGAGAGATATGAAGGTTAACCAGATTGCTGACTGTATGCACTGAAAATGTAGCAATTTAAATATTTATTTTTAGCGTTGTCTGAAAGGCTATGAAGTAACATTGCGTTCAAGCGCAGTGTGAACGCAGTTCCATTAACAATGACACCTTTTAAAATGACGTTTTAGGGCTAGGGGCATGGTGTATATAGGCTAGCAATTTGTCTTCAAAATATGATGCTACATTAATATTAATCTTAATTATATAATTAATAGCAACATTTAAAAAAATTCCCTGAGGGATGATGCAATTTTTCTTCCATTTGGTCACGTCTGCTGCTGACTCTAATGATGAGTTTTTTTCATTACTATACTGCTTTTTTGTACTTTACTTCTTCTACCCTCAGTACTGAGACGTATATCATAAACAAGTGTAGGTCTCACACTTCTTGTTATATATGTCCTTATGAGATTCATTTGTATGTCCTCTTGTTAAATAACACAAGAGGGCAAAAAGAAAAGAAATTATGACCTGTAACTCCCATTATTCACAGCCAGGAATAGGGCTGCATTGTACTCTGTTCAGGATTCTACAAAATGCAGTGTGAGTGTTTAAATAGGCATTTATAAGTCTGCTCACCTCACTAGACAAGATAAAGGCCCGAGCATCCTTTAGTATACCGCAGCCATATTTAACCTTAGTCGTTTTATTTCGCAGAGAATGATAAATGATCACTAGGCACAAAACAACACAAATTAATATACTGCTATAAGTCAAATCAATATAGGGAAACCTTGCATAATACAATCTGGCACCCCATCCCTTCACCTTGTTTCCCCCAATCTGTAAGACAGCAAGTAATGATCTGTTATTTACTTATCTCACACTTGCCATCTGATATTGTGATTATTTTTTCTGTTGACAGTAATGGGTTATTTAGCCTGCTGGTCAGGTGGGTAAGGGTTAAGGTTTCTATTCTAATAAAATCCCCAGGGTGTTTATTGCACTGTCATACAGGCAGCAGGGGTTGGGAGAGGGCATTATCCTGGTGCAATCAGTGCTGGCTATAATGTGACAGCCAGGCTGCAGCTGTCTGACTAAGGCCAGGGATAGGGAGTAGAATTTCCAGTGAGAATGTTGCAATAACAAAGCTCAGGAGTTATAAACAATGCCACGTGTCTGGCAGTGGGGAGGAGCAGCAAGGCTTATTTCCGGCAACAAAGGGAGGCAGCTATAAATAATGGAGCAGTGACACAGATCAGACAGACAAACAACAAAGACCTGGTAGTGAACAAGCAGAGACCTGTCTGATCCCGTGAGTGTGCATTCACCTCTTTATCTCAAATCCTGTCACCACCATGCCTTTCCTAGGGCAAGACTGGAGGTCCCCTGGCCAGAACTGGGTGAAAACAGGGGATGGCTGGAAAAGGTTTTTGGATGAACAAAGTAACTTTGTCAGTGACATCAACAGGTGAGTTTGGGGGGTCAAGTCTAACACCTCTTCTTCCCACCCCCAATCCTTGAATCTACTGACTTGCAGCTTCATTGGAAACATCTGGCTTAGAAAGGGTTAATTGTGAAAGAATTTTTAGGGCAAAGGGCTGTCCAAATTCAGTTAAAATGATTTATTGTAGGGGAAAAAAACAAAAAAACACTGGGACAGGAGTGAACAAGAGGAAATTAGTTCAGAAACAGCTGGATAATCTACAACTCCTGCTATGCTAAGCCAGCCTCAAAGCTGACTGAGGATCATAGGGGTCTTAGTTCTACAGCATGAAAGCAGGAGGTCTAGCATTTGGTCACCCTTTGCATTACATCGAGGATAGCTGATGGTTTGGCATTCCAGCTGTGTAAATGCACAAACAGCTGGAGAGACACAGTTCTGACCTTGTTGTTGCAGATGTAAACACTGTAGCTATAATAAAACTCTGCTTTGGCACACACTGGGTTAATGCAGATACCCATCTCTGATCATTGCTGTTACTGTGTCTCTGTAAAGCAGGCAGTGGGAAGTTGTGTTGCATTGTTAGCAGTCAGTGGGAAGTTGTGTTGGTGCTACATTGTTGATCTATTGTGGGACTGCAAAGGTTAATAAGCTCTACACTGTAACATTAGACATTCTAAATAATTGATGGCCATGGCTGCCATGCAGTTTGCAGATCCGGTAACACTGAGAGACACAGGCTTTGTGGATCTGTGTTTTTTTGTTTTTTTTTTCTGCTGAGATCTCTGGAATCCTCTAGCCCTTTCTGCAGTTTAACTGTAATCCCCTGCTGCTTCTTAAATGAGGTCGATCTGGGGCAATTGTAAGCATTCTGATTCTGTAGAAAGCTCTAGAGTTCCCCCTGCCTGTGATCTAAACTGCTCTGAAATGTTGCAGACAGGTGGAATGTTTTTGTTTTCTTTGGGGTAATGATGTGACTTGCAATATACATACTGCCCAGAAGAGGGGGCAAACCAGCTGCTCTAAATGACTGAGTACATTGACTGTATTGTTACTGCATTATAATGGTGATACAGTTTGTGTGATACAGTTTGTTAGATGGTTAGGGTATCTGGTTTGGATTGTTTATTTTGATTTTTTTTTTTTTTTAATCCCCAATCTATAGTGAAATCAAAACAGAATTCCAAAATTCAGTTAAAATTTGAACACTTTTTATTTATTTTTTTGGGGGGCCAGATTTTACAGTTAATTGCTCCGTTCAAAACAGTCCAGCGAATAAACCTCTTGTTTCATTTCTACATTGTATTTGTGTTTTGCTCAGTAAAAATATTAGAGGTGTGTGTGTGTGTATGTATGTATGTGTGTATGTGTGTATGTTTATATGTATGTGTTGGGAAAAAAAATGTGTGTGTGTGTGTGTATATAATATATGTGTATGTATGTGTGTATGTATATATGTGTGTGTGTGTGTATATATAATATATATATTAGACCACTTTAGCCTACCATCAGATGCAGATTATGAATATTTTATGCAACATCTGCACCAGCTCTCTAGAATTGCAGTATCATTCACCCATTCATCTTGTGACTCTGCGTGACACCGTCATTCAGACTAACAGGCTATTTATAGTTCCAGAATGCCTCTGTGGGTATTTATTTAGTAGCACACGGTGTGTGTTCTGTGCACGCAGTCTTTGTGACCAGCTGTTGGTGTCTTTAAAGTGACTTGTTTCAAAAACACCTGTTTGGAAGATGACATTTTATACTTATTGTTACACATATAAAATATGGAACTTGAACACTCAAAACGTCTGTTGTGAATGCTGGTATTTCAACAATGACGTTACTCGTTCTCAAAAGTAAAATTAATGTTCTTAAGGTCCTCTGACAGACTGTTCACACTGTTTTCTAATTTGATGCATTGTATTAATAAAAATAGTCTCGACTCTGCTTCCTGACCTGAAGTCGAGCAAACTAAAATCTTTCTATATTTAAAAACAACCACAGTGTGCTGAGCCTGTGTTTATAAGACAAAGCTTACACTCCATTAGGCGCAGGGATCTACTGCGAGGGGAACTCTGTTCCCAAAATACAGAACTGGCCAGAAAAAAAAAAATTTACACACTTCAGCAAATGAGAAACCTGTATAAATATTTCAATACTAAATTTATTTAGACCTCAAGAGATGAGTAAAAGAAACCTTTGACCTGCTCAAAGTGGTTGCCATTGACTTATTAGTATGGAGACCTGCTGGTCGGGACACTTTATGTTCCATAAACAACAACCGTGCCTTGGCCATTTTGTTTGCCGTTCACCCGTTACATGTTGGTGCTAGAGTCATGTGGGTAAGGCTTCATACTACACACTGCTTTTGTAATTCAATCCAACTTTGAGAAAAGTCTATAGATAGCCTCTGTGAAAGTGTTTACATTTGTCTGGCTAGCTCTGTATATTTTCAGAAGAAAGCGAGCTACCATGATTCTTACAGGAGAAATGCTACCGACAGGTATACAGAGCTCCGGGCAGTGATGGATGGGGATGTAATAAATATAAAATATATATATATATATATATATATATATATATATATATATATATATATATATATATATATATATATATATATATATATATATATAATTTTTCTAGTACTTGTGTATTTTTTATTTTTATTTTTACATGATTTTGTGACCTCTGCTGTATTTTACACATTTTCAGAAGTACAAAAGCCAGTCTTCTCTTTAGGTTCCATAATGTTTGTGTTATGTTATGTACACAAAATATGTATATAAAAACAAGGCACAGAGAGGGAGACTGCCAGAATTGGAAAGACTGGCCCCTATCTTTATCTTGAATTCTCACCATAGCAGCAATAATGGGGGCCAGAGGGTCATTGTCAGGGTATCATAGGTTGATAGCAGAGATGTTGCTGGTGAGGGACTTTTTGGGTTGAAGCTCAGGTTATTTAGTTCTGGATCTTTAAGCGGTCTAGTGTAGTGGTTGTTTTCTTCTCAAAGCAGCTGTTTGTGTATATATTAAAAAAAAAAAAATTAAAACCGGCTATGTTTATGTAGCAGGAAGCCATTGACTATATTTTATATTCACACTGCATTAACCATGATGATTAACACTGTTGACACAACTTTGGGAAAGCCCCATAATTATCTTTTTATAATCCATTATTCTTTCCTTGCACTGGCAAAAGGCATGTCTAGACTTGTCAATGAATGTTTCAGCATATTAAGTTTGTATCCCTGGCACTCAGAGGGTTAATGCATGTATTAAAGGTCACTGACACAGAACCGCATGTCCATTAATTATTTTATGTTTCGTTTTATTCACAGCTACTGCAATGTGGAACTCAATAAAGAAAACCTTTACAATAATCTGAATTATGACATTGCTGCCAAGAAAAGAAGAAAGGACTGTTTGAACAACAACACAAAGATACAATGTAAGGTGTCCTGTGTAATCGCACAACTCACACGAAATCCTCACTAATGGATGTTTGAATTGAAAATGTTCATTTCTGGCTCTCTTGCAACATGACACTTACAGATGTTTACCCTTGTTTCAGTGTGAACACACTATAGAGGATATTTTTTAAGGCAAAAAACACTCAAAACTTGGAAAAAGTGCTAAGAAAAAAAATCAATCACCATGGATTAATAAAATAATAAAAATTACCCCACAATTTCACCTTAATACATTAATAATTAAGTAATTATTTGTAACTATATAGTATGCATTTAGCGTGGTTTATATCCATTTCTGTTAGTAGAATTAACTATTTAGGTGTGAGCTCATGATACCTTTAAAAAATAAAGAAACCAACTACAAACTGACTGTTATTGGACATTTCTGGTTTACCCTATAAAAGATGTTGAGAGTAGATTGCCTGTAATGGTCGTCAGTCTGCCTACCACATGTGGCATGTTTGTTGCCAAATGAAAACGTTGTTGTTTCTGAGAAATGGTAATTGCTTGCGTTACAACAGCATCAATGCAGTAAAATCACTACGCTATGATGTTTAAATCTATACTTTTTACTTTTTATGTTGTTTAATGTGATACAAAAAGGCATGACAGGGGCGCTTTACATCTCACTGGAAACACTCCTCCGGCTGTGGGTTTTTATAGAGAAAGATTGGCACATAGATTGCAACCTACATTGCATGATTTTGCTAACTAAATTCACAAGAGTTTTAGTCAATCATTTATTAACACTGTCTTTTGTGGCAGGTTCCATATTGCTCTGTTTTTAAAAGACTCTGTATTATGCACATTCTGCTCACAGCAGAAAATCCCATCCATCCCGTGAGAGACTCCTTGTTTAGAGTAACAGGTTACTTGCAGTCCCCTCTTTCTGCTTGTTTTTCATGTGTAGTTGCGTAACTGACCTTGTCTAATCTTTATTGTATGTATTTATAAACTGTTGTGGCTTTTCACACATCTAGCTCTTTAATTGCAGTATTACATAGTTTTTATTTATTTATTTTGAACAGATCAACACCAAGAAAAATGGATCTATGTGCATAAGGGAAGTACTAAAGAGGTAAGTGGTCAAAAACCGCGGGAAAGCTTGTTTCCGTCTAAATCTTAATCATTGTATAAAGCGTGTATTAATCTTGTTATACTTGCAGGATTGTTTTACTTAAACATTCATTGTTAGGAATTCAAAGTGAGTTTCAAATTTAAGATCCAAATAGCTGAACTTAGAACTCAATTGAAGATTATATTTTTTTAAATTGTATTATAGTTGCTTAATATTGAAATTTTAATTCTAACTTTTGTGAATAACCTCAAGAGAATTCCAAAAAATTTCGTTTTTTTTATCATAAAGTCATCATCACGATACTCTAAACTAATTGTACTTATAATTATAACATAATGAGGTGCTGATCATTTTATAACATTAGAGAAGAACTGCAGAATAAGTCAGCGCTATATAAATGCTGCTAATAATAATTGTGATTGCATTTTTATGAGTTGGTGCACATATTTTGCTCCTTTGTGCCACGTCGACGCACAGCATTACTTTGTTATTTATCCTTGTGTGTTCTTTCCTTCTCTAACCCACTTCAATCTTTACATTTAATGAATCTCTCTTTCTTTAAACTTCCAGCGTCATGGTTACTGTACACTTGGTGAAGCTTTCAATCGATTAGATTTTTCGAGTGCGATCCAGGATTCGAGAAGATTTAACTATGTTGTCAGAGTGAGTTTTAAGTATTAAGACTTCATACATAATGTTACAAGGTGTCAAATTCTGATCCATCACCGTAAGCTGGTACTATTTACACACTTTGTGTAACGTTTTACTTTAATTATTTTTTTGCTCAGAGTTTTGGTGGAGTGTGATAATCTTTACGCCCAACATCAAAAGGTCCAGAGATACCGGAGTGGATTTAACTGACAATGAATGTAATGCCAAATTAGTTTTTATTCAAAATTTTATATAAAATATATATCCCTTTTTGAAATTACAGGAGGACACAATTAAACTGAATGGATGACTGAGAGGCATGTAAAAGTGTATTATAGACTTTTATTTAATTTGCATTTATGGGTTACTTGCCACTGAAGGCTTTCAGATACCTTGGTATTTGGAAGGCTCACATGTGTCTGATTGTGCAGATTCTAGAGATGAAGCCTAAACTGCGAAACGTCCTCTTTGTAGTAAGTGTATTGGAACTTAGGGGAGCTAGCACAATTGACATGGAACAAACTAGAAATAAAATATACTAAACCTAAATTGAAAACATAATATTGAAATTATAGTTTAAATAAAAAGAGAACATCATAAGCCGGATATAAGCACTTAAGTTGTGTTTTATGGTATTTAAAACTAGGTTGCGCTACTTAATCTTAGGCATGTCCGATACAAACTGATAAATTTATAGATCGCAAAAGTAGCAACAGTATGATTGGCCACTGGCTTGACTTTCCCCTCACACAGTAATTCTAACTATAATCGACTTGGTTCACATCATGAGCAACAACAATGTTTAAGTTCGAGGCTGCATTTAAAGCCAAAAAAGAAACCTTTTAGAGTAGCAAGAGCGTACAGCAAAGTAGATAAAGAAAACAAAAAAATGGGGCTATCAAAACAAAAGTTTAATTTTTAGTAACTATTTTGGCTTAGCTTTAAATATAGCCATTGACTTATGAAAAAGGGGATGGAAGGAGAACCACAAACCTTGTAACCACCCGGATATGGATAATTTACTGTGTGCTCATGTTGGCCATCAGTGAGCGCTGAACACTTTATTTCCACATACTGTACATTGTTTTGTGTGGAAGCGGTCCGATTCTCCGCCATTATTTTTGAGGGACTGTTAGGCATGCTGTGGCTCGTATCACGAAGATCATGGGCTAAAGCTCTCTAAATATCCCTGTCTGCACTTTGCTCTTTGCGGCCACAAGAGACAGCTTCTAATAGACCAGCTTGAGCTTTCCCCTGGGACAAAAAAAGTTAAACTTCAGCTGAACATGACTCACCAGCTTTGATATAAAAAAAATCTGATTATCTTGCCTTGAGGAACATTTGCGTTAAAATAATATTTACCGTAATATTTTGTCAGGCCCTGATTAATATAGCCATAAGATAGCCAGACACTGAAGCATATCCATTTCAAACCATTGGCAGGGACGGGAAGGATCCACAACATTAATCAAAGTTGCATCACAGAAACTCTAGTCTTTTTTTTTACATCTGATTAGTTTTAAAACAACTGGTTGGTGACCCCTGCACACTTTACTTGAGTCTTAAAATAAAAATGTGCTTCAATTAAAGGAAAAAAATAAATACATTAAATTCCTTGTGAGAAGGCAGCATTCTTTTCGGTCTGGCAAAGCTCCCTCTCTTAATAAGATGATATTGTAAGTGTACCAGAAATAGAAAATAATTGCTGTTGAGTAATCTATGTTTATGTTCTGAAGACAAAAGGCTACAGGGTGTTCAGGCTAACTTAAATAAAGCCCTGTAGTATCTTTGCTTACATAAACCTTTTACAGCAGATTCTTGGGTAAACTGTTTCACCATGTCACAAAGCTGCCAACACTTTTTTAATTTTACGATTTGTATTGCATCAATATATTGCTGTGGGCACTGGTGTTCCCTCCACAAACTGCATTACTTCCATAAACTAAGTTATGGTGAGTTAATTATATTGAAACATTAGGCCATAATAGTGTTGCTGCTTTTAATTGGTGTTTAGCATCCAAGGGCGTTAAAGAGTTCATCTTTGCTCTGTAACGGGCATTTAATAAAAACAATACCCTCCTAGCCTGATTAATGGGGGTGGGAGGACCTTTGGACTCTTCTGCTGTCCATTCTTTGGGATCTACTGTGACACACATAGGGCCACGTGCTGTCGAACCCAATGCTCCCTTCATTTATTGAACATTCCATGTCCTGAGTATTTTTGTATTTATGTAATTAAAGGTGGCCATGTGTATTTCATTATTCTCTGGATTTCTTTTCAACCTGTGCTGATGGTTGTTTTTATTGACTTTGTAATATTCCACACAAGTGCAATCAGAAAATATTTACTGCCCCCCCCCCCCCTCCTGTGTTTGTATGATGACATAGATCTTTCATTTTTAGAAAATGTAATAACTGTCCGAAGTGAGGCCCCTGTGTATATGTAAAGCTGGCAGAGACTATGGCATACTGACGTTAATGGAATTCCTGCTGTCTCTCTCGGGGAAACATCTGGTGTATTCTGATACCAACAACCCGTTCTGATTTTAATTTTAATGTTAGTTGGCTTCTGAGATACGTATGATTGATGTCGACTTTGCTGATTTATGGCAGTTAAATGCGCATGAGTTGGCTAATGCAGTTGAGAATTTACACACTGATAGCTGATTAACGCCAGTATATCTTTAGCCCTTTCTCCAAAATGCATGTGTTTGAAGAATTCAAACTATTATGTTTTTAATATACAAAGCCAAATCTGATCTTTGAAAGGTGTGTGTGTGTGTGTGTGTGTGTGTGTGGTTTTCTTTTTTTTTTTTGATACAGCCTAGTGAGGTTTAATTAAGTCTGGTCTATCCTGGTTTGATTTTGTTCAAATGAATGCAATTTTTAGTATTTAGATTATTTAAAAGAATTTGTTTTGTATAAAATATATACAAACAATACTGACAAATACAGGATTGACTCTTCATCCTTCCGAGGTAGATAAAAATAGTAACAACCCCTGATTGTTGGGTTAAGGTAACATCCCCAGGACGTACTTGAAAACCAGAGTAATCTGAATGTACCTTTCCTGGTTAAATACTTTGTTATTATTATTAAATACACTGTGTCATGATGTGTATTTCCTTGGAGCCACGTGGATATTTTTAACTTTAGTACCCAGCCCTGTCACAAGATGTAATGTGCGCCCGGTCTTAGTTGAACTGATGTTTACACTGCACACTTTCACAGTCAGCCAGTCACATGATAGCAAAACCCAGTAATGACAACATGTAACTGGAGATTAGATCACAATTTAATTGCTCAAGTTCATGTTGAGTCATGGCAGGCGATACATCTGCGGCATGTCGATTATGGATGAGGCAAAATAATGCAGCTGTCCAGATAAACCAGGCTTAAGTTTGTTTTTGTTTCTTCACTTTAAGTTGTTTTGTGGGGGTTATTTTTGTATATTTCATAAAGAATAATTTGTACCCAAAATATTTGGGAGGCAGTTCCTGAACATTACTCCTCCGAGGACAAATTGCAGACACTGAGGGACCAGCACAGACAACCTAACTAGGACAACAATCCATCCCCTAAAGTCAAAATCATAGAATAATTTTAGCTAATTTTTATTTATTTTCTACTTTATGTAATTTTGATTTGTTTATGATTTGATTTATGTAAAACATAGTAAGTCTCTAAAGAAGATCAAAGTTTTTGTGTGAACACTGAAAGCTGTATTTTTTTTTTTTTCTTTAGATCCATGTTTACTTTCAAATCCCTATATTTGAAACCTTTATTATATAGCTGTTATAACATGTAATGATGGACTGACCACGTTTATGGCCAGAAGTTAGTTACAACTGCCATGTCGTAAGGCTGGCAAAGCATCATATGAGTTGAGCTGGGGATCTACCTTTTGGCCACACTTTGAATACAATGGAGTTTTTCATGTAGGCACTCTGTATTAATCTTTGTCCTGTGTCTCTCTTCAGTTGCTGGAGTTGATTGCAAAGTCCCAGCTCACCTCGTTAAGTGGAATCGCCCAAAAGAATTATATGAATATTTTGGAAAAAGTGGTTCAAAAAGGTAATTTTAGTATTACACATGCACCGTGTATTAAAACTGTTTGTTGGTGATGTTGGTTGAACCACAATGATCGGTCCCATAATGTTTCTGTTAGTATAACTCACATTCACTGGTGTTACATCATACACAGCCACCTATATAGAAGGCATTATAGGATCTCTGTACATAAAGCTGCTGTACACATGCACTTTCAACACGGATGATCAAAATTGATCATTTTTGCCAATACAAACGAAACTGCTTGTCTTTTACTTTTACAATGCGAACAATAATTCTCTAAATTTGTACTGCCTACATCTCTCTACTCGTGTGCAGAGGTTGATGGGAATCATTTTAATCTTTGTTTGCATATTCGTATTCCAAATCCTCTGGCTGACTAGGAAAAATTAAAGTATTCTTTCACTGTTCTGTAATGTAATGGTGTGATACCCCTTAGCTTTTACCTTTTTCCTTCATAATGTGTATTTATTATATTATATTAATAGTTGTGATCCATTTACAGAGACCAATATCAGTACAGGAAACCTGGCAATAAGACAGGCTCACATAAAATCCTGGGAGAGCAGAATATTTGGTTCTGAATGCAGAGACCTGCAAGTTGTAATGCTCTAAATCTCCTATAAATCCCAGAGTAACTGTGTCTCTCAATTTTGTGTTGAATAAGGGAAATCCAGCTCTGTTTTTTTTTTTTTTTTTTTTTATAATGTAAAATACAGATGTATTAAAAAATAAAGTTAAATATGATTTTACAAATGCTACTTTTTGTTTCAGTTCTGAAGGATCAGCAGAACATCCGCCTGATCAAGGAGCTGCTGCAGACTCTCTACTCGTCATTGTGTACTCTGGTCCAAAGGATGGGCAAATCTGTGCTGGTGGGAAACATTAACTTTTGGGTGTACAGAATGGAAACCATTGTAAACTGGCAGCAACAACTGAACAACATCCAGATCACCGCGGTAAGAACAACAAATGATCAGCCGCAATACTCATACCAACGTTTTGGGAAATTGGTCCACATAAACTAAATGGTGGAGACCCACATCTCCTCGATCCTTTCATATGAACCTGAGAAACTCTTTGCAGTTTCAGTAAAGAAGTCTTGCTCCAATAGGGAGCCACTCATTAAAGTTCGAAATAATTTTTCAGGGATCCGAAGATTAAAAATCTGTTAAGTGTTGATATATTCATTCTATTGAATGTATGAGCCATGATTTAAAATGTATTTTCATATTTCTCTTTTTTTTTAAACTGGAACACTATTATTCTTTGGGAGTACATTTTAATCATACCTCCTGTTTACCAAATGTTTGGTTGGAAAAAATATGAGTCTGAGCAGGAAAGCAAGCAGCCCCCCAGCTGTTGAACATCAACGCTCATTGTTTGGTTGGGGGATAATGGGAGTTGCAGTCCAACGGCTGTAGGTTGCCAAACTCATGAATAAACTGTGAGTGCAATGTGTATCTTCTCTGCTGTGTTCTTGTTGTGAACCTCAATTCACATTCCTCAGGGATTAAATTTGTCTCCTTCTATATTTAGCCTGCTGCTAAGGGAATGACTTTGATCGACTTGCCCTTGTGTCTTCAACTGAACATCATGCAGAGGTTAACAGATGGGCGAGATATTGCATGTCTTGGTCAGGTGTCCTCGGATTTGAGGGTACTCAGTGATGACCGCCTGCTGTGGAAAAAGCTGTGCCAGTATCATTTTACAGAAAGACAGGTAACTTGCACACACTCATCTCTATAGATTTATAAACAAACACTGTATTTCTTTAGATTAAAATGACAAATTATAGAATGGAAATATATACTGTGCTTGATCTCCTGTCAGTTTACTGTTGATGGGACTGGGAGAGTGCTGGAGGAGCCCAGTACCCACATTTGATGTCCGGAATGTTGAGCGCTAATCATGAAGTGTTGAAGAGCTTTTTTTATGAAATGACTCATGTTATCCTTAACTTGAATGTTTAACTTATACTGTGGTTTTTATTAGATTCGGAAAAGAATAATATTGTCTGATAAGGGGCAGCTGGACTGGAAAAACATGTATTTTAAGTTGGTGCGGTGTTACCCAAGGAGAGAACAGTATGCCAATACCCTTCAGCTCTGTCGACATTGTCACATCCTGTGCTGGAAGGTGAGTTACCATTGCTAGCTGAGGTCAGCTGACATTCACTGTTCCTTTAACAATAAAAAATCCATGGTGGGTATCAAAGACTTTTTTGTTTTTTAGAACTTTGTAAAAATGGGGTGGCCAGATGGGTAATGCAGACCCCCAAACAGTTGTAATTTTAATGCTTACCCATCAGTACCATTCTTTAAGACTTTTTACAAGAGATAAGATGATGAGCACAGAAAACAACAGGTCTTCCTAGGTTTACTCACTAAAACATTAATCCTCGGGGATTCATTTCGTCTCCTTCTATATTTAAATAATGTATGGAAAACCAAATGGAAACATTCAAGCTGTGACTATATAGCTAGCTGGGTTGGGAAATTGTCCTGTTTATGTTAGAAATAGAGCATCGTTGGAGAGGGTTTCCCTAATGTGTTATTACAAGTAATTGGAAAACTAGGTCAGGTGTGTCCAAATTGATTTCCCATAACACTCAACTCCTCGGATTGAGGTCACTTTTTGGTGGGTTTTTTGTTTTTTTTCAGAACTCTCTAAAGTCCTTTTTAGTCCCCTTTTATTTATTTTTATCAGATTCAACAATCTGCTTCTTGTTTTTTAGGGTACAGAACACCCGTGCACTGCAAATAATCCGGAGAGTTTCCTGGTTTCTCTCTCTCCGCAGGATTTTATCAACTTGTTTAGGTTCTAAACTTGATGGATCTCCTCTTGTGTGGTACTACATTGGATTCCTGTGGATATACTTTTTCTAGGCTGATCTTGTTGATTTTGTAAATATTGTAAATTTCACTGACTTAACTTCAAGATCATGCCATGGTATGATCCTTGAGAAGGTTGGCCATTGATAGAAGCATCTGTTGGTGGAAACCTTCTCGAAGAGCACTTGATGGACAGAAGGCCTATTGTGCCAGCAATTGAAGGACAAAGCATGTGGGAATAACACAAAATTTGTGGATTTTCAAAAAGTGGATGTTCACCTGGAGTGCAACTTGCTTAGTTAATTTCATCATCGATATAGGTTATTTATCGATTTAAAGGGACAAAATTTCTCAAGTCTACCTATTCTTTAAGACACCATCTACTCCGGTTGACTTTTTTTTTTTTTTTTTTATTACCTTTTACTTCTAAGTACTATTAACTGTAGACTTTATCTTTATACCGCACTCATTTCTACCTCTCACTCAGAAAACTGTTAATTTTAGTCAAATCTGCCATGTCTGTATTTTACTTAGTAGTTTAAGTTACAGAACAAATCACTTGCACAGAAAATTAAAATTTTACATCTGCTTACTTAGAACAATTTCTTTCTGTGTGGTACTCCTGTGCAAATATCTGCATCAGTGAAGATGTGGTCCACAACATCTGGAGTGCCGAAGGTTGCATAGTCTATGTGGGGCAAAAAAATATAGACTTCTCAAAATGTATAGAACCAATTAATTACTACCAAAGGGAGGATTATTGTGCAGGATTAATATAATAACATTCCTGTTATAAGTAATTAAAATGGTGGCCCATACATTTATTGAGCTGTGAACATCCCTTCGTTGGTTTTAAGAAGTGTACAGAACTGCAACATGTATGCTTTAGAAAGTGAAAGGTCCCTATCAAATAGGATCACCTTTTATTTATGTGTAATCTCTTTTAAGTTGTAAATATATTGTTTTGCATGTTGTATACAAGAAGTTAATATTTTACATTTCCAGAGTGTCTTAATTATTGTTGTTGGGAGCTGGTAATGTCTGTAGTAATTTACAGCACTTTTTGGCACAATCTCATATGTATCTGTTCACAAACAAGCACTTTTTTCTTACATTCTGTATTTGTGTATATATTGATGTATGCAAGAATTTGAATGGCTCTGAATAGATTGTTTGCTTTGAGAACATGGCACGCTTGTGATCTAGTTAGGAGCGTGATCTATCATGTTTTGTTTTTAATAATTTTTTTTTATTTGCCACTAGTGCTAGAAATTAAAGATTTTAATCGGAAATTGTGAAGGCAACTTTTTTTTTTTTTTTTTTTTTTTTTTAAGGGAAACTCACTTCTCTGGAATTTATACCATTTGAATAAAACACTTAAAATGTAGAACGTGTTTAAAAAAACTTTTTGGATTTTGTTTTTGTTCGTGAGATGCTCCATTTTCTATATATGCAAAGGCTTGGCCTGCAGTTGTGGGAGGGGCATGTTACACTACTTAAACCCCCCTACTCACCTTCCTCTGTCCCGTACGCGATTTTAACGATTCGCTTGTCCCCACCCTCCACTCCCTCGCCTGCCGTGACGTCGGTTCCGGCACACCTCAACCGACTAATTTCCCCCTTTACTATGCTCCTCTTGGTATGCTTCCTATACGGCCTTATTTGCCCCTCACACAAAAATTTTAATTGAAGAGTTAACAAATTGCATCATAATCCAGTTCAGGCTAGGCATAGCCTGCAAAGGAAAATGGGTAATAGAAACAAGGTTAAATTTCTCCTGTTATCTGTATGGTTTGTTGGGTTTTTTATTTTTTATTTTTTATTTTTTTTTATGCTGCCTGCCAGGTAAAACCATCAGAGTTTATAACAATGATTTGACAAGGCACTAAAATGGCGACACCCAGTTTCAGAATTAAGAAGTGTGTGTGTGTGTTTCTGCATTTGGTTTCTTTTCACACCTCATAAACATATATTTGTTAAATATATAAGATAAGTATACCTAATATAAACAATCCAGGGCAGTAACCGTTCCCCTTTAATATTAAAGGATCTCTCAAATCTGTCTCTCCTTTCTTGAAAAGAAATGAATGAAACAACTTGCCAAACAATGACTCTATGTTTCTCACGAAAACTGCTTTTTATAACTGTAAATGCAGTTCACAACTAAACCACTGCTATAGATTAAACTTAGACCCGGATTTATGTCAGACTAGAAGTGTCAAGGAAAAAGACACAGTAAGACTTCTAAAATGCTTATGTAAACTAGAAACCTAGAATGTGACGGCAGATAACCATTCGGCCCATCTAGTCTGCCCAATATTTCAAAATACGTTTAATTAGTCCCTGGCCTTATCTTAAGTCTAGGATAGCCTTATGCCTATCCCACGCATGCTTAACCCCTTAAGGACACATGACATGTGTGACATGTCATGATTCCCTTTTATTCCAGAAGTTTGGTCCTTAAAGGGTTAAACTCCCTCACTGTGTTAACCTCTACCACTTCAGCTGGAAGGCTATTCCATGCATCCACTACCTTCTTAGTAAAGTAATACTTCCTGATATTATTTTTAAATCTTTGTCCCTCTAATTTAAGACTGTCCTCTTGTTGTGGTAGTTTTTCTTGTTTTAAATATATAGTCTCCTCCTTTACTGTGGTTCCCTTTATGTATTTAAATGTTTCTATCATACCGTCTATACATGTTAAGATCCTCCCTCACCAGTGTTCTGTACAATGGCATGAGCACTTCCATCTTTCTACTGCTAATACCTCTCCCTATACAACCAAGCATTCTGCTAGCATTTCCTGCTGCTCTATTACATTGTCTGCTTACCTTTAAGTCATCAGAAATAATCACCCCTAAATCCCTTTCCTCAGATGTTGAGGTTAGGACTCTATCAAATATTCTGTTCTCTGCCCTTGGGTTTTTACGTCCAAGATGCATTATCTTGCACTTATCCACATTAAATGTCAGTTGCCACAATTCTGACCATTTTCTAACTTTTTTTTTTTTTCTAAACGAGAATCCTTTAACATAACTCTCAGCCTTAATACTGGTGGTTCTAGAACTTTGGTGTATATTTTATTATGTTAGATCTCTATGTTGGAATTAAACATTGGTAAAACCCTTGTTTGTCCATACATGCTTGATATCCTGCAATCAAACCACTATTTGGTTATTTTTAACTGTAAACAAGCAAGTACTGTGGCTGAATTGCTGCAAAACATTTATGGTGGCTTTCTATTCAAGTACTGGTTTGTTTTTGGAGTTGGGGGTAGTTCTGACCGAGTGGAAGATGGATGTAGTGTGCATGTTTCAATGCTGGGGCTTGTCATTATATGAGCTATAATTTTGCACATGTATTTAATAGTCTACTTGTATTGTGCACATTTTTAAAATGGATCAATGATAGAGGAAATATCTTGATTAAGTGTTTGTTTTTTAGCGCACACAGTTTACCTGTGATTTTAAACATGATGATCTGCATTTTATTTCTATATTTAATATAAAAGTACATATGTAACTGTATATATTTTGATGCTATTATTCCCTACATGGTTGTGAAACGATGGTATACTTCATTTTATCTGTGTATCCGTGGCATTTTAGTTTGCAAAACACTAGTCTCTTTAATGTGATTGCATTGTGTGACTTTGATTCATCTTGCACATAAGACTCCACATTGATTCATATATTGACCTTTTTAAATGGTTTACCATGAACAATATTGGATATTGCAGTAAATAATTTCATGCTGAGATTTAAAGGGCTCGATTAAACCAGACATTTATTGGTCTGTCTGGTTCCAGGATTTATCTGATGTCCTACCATGAATACTGTACAAGAGTTTCACTGTAAATGAGCGGTCTGATCACTTAATGCACACACTGTTCCATTGAATAAATAGTAAATGCTGTGACATGTGTAACTGTATCTTGGCATGTAATGTATTACTGCTTGTAAATTGAAAAGGACCAGATAATTGCTAGGATGCTTTTGATATGAGTTTTTATCGTTTTTCCTTTTTTCAGAATGCATTCATAATTAATAAAATTACCGATTAACCATTGCTTGCTTTGCTGTGGGTGTATATAACATATCATTTTTTTTTTTTTTTTTTGGCAGGTACAGGGGAGACTTTTTTTTATTGAAATTAGATTCTTGTTAACCTGGGATAATTGAGAATAATTCTCTATTAAGTTGTCAGAAAATCAACAGACCAGGGAGCCAAGAGGGCCTGACATACTGGCAAAACTCCTATCAATACAAGAGTGCACAATATTTAACCCCTTAAGGACCAAACCTCTGGAATAAAAGGGAATCATGACATACCACACCTGTCATGTGTCCTTAAGGGGTTAAACTCACAAAGTGAAATAATATCCGTACACAATTTGTGATTAAAATGTGTCTTAAGTGGCTTCAGAGTTATATTAATTATGACCAGGGCTGGCATCAGAAAATTCGGGGCCCCTTAAAAAGCCACTGGCCAGGGGCATCAAAGTCTCCTCTCCCAGTTATGTGTGCATACACCCATCCCAGACACACAGATAAACAAAACTACAATACGCATTTATTCCTACATACTCAACATGATTTTTGCCACCTTCTTGTTCCCTTACCTATTGGCTTTGGATGGCTTTATGGGATCCAGGGAGGAGGGGCAGGTACAGCCTGCAGGCTTCTCTTGCCTTCCATGTGGCTTCAGAAGTGCAAGGGGCAAGCAGTGGTCTCAGATAATGGGAAACTTTACTGCAGTGTAATATAATTGGGGAGATATTTCTATCGCCTCAACCAGACCTTTGTGCACTCCGCATGTGAGGAATCTGTCTGTACTCCCTTGTCTGATAGCTGCCCTGTACAGAGATTTTTTATCAAACTGGGCATTCCAAGTGGATTTAAAATTTTAGTATAAAATAAGTAAACAGAAAACACAGTAGATTTTGAGAATTTTTCAGTTTGACTAATGGTGTCTAAGATCTAAATTTCCCTTTGAATTCCTAACAATTTGCAGTTTAGCAAATAAATAAAAAAAACTGTAAAATAATGCAGGTGCTTATCGTACAGGTACAAGATAACTGGGCCACCATTTATTGATATTAGTCAACATATTCACATCTTTCACAGCGAATTCATAGGCATGCTCTCTGTCAGTAAGCGAGGAGTGTCTGTATATAACAGATAATGAATGATTCATGTAATATAACCCGCTACTTTGTTTATCATAGAGAGAGGATGAAATTGACATCAGAATATAAAAGACTTTTTGTTTTCTTTTGTTATACCCTCCAGTAGTTTTTTTTTAAACGCCAGCTGAATGTTACAATTTGTATATATGTATCGGAGTTTGGCACATAACCTCCCTAAAGAACAATAAAGACTTGGAAGCCCAAAATTGAGTTGTGTCTTTCTAATATCCTTTGTAGTAGGGGTTGTTGTTAGCTGATCACTTATTGTATAGTATATATTTTACAGTTTGACACTCATTTGAGTTTAAACTTTCTTTGAAACGCTACGTGCTATCTTTTTCTTTCTAAAGCTTTGGATTTTTTTGTATACACAACTCAACACATCTGAGGAATTATATAATGAATATTATAAGCTGAGGGACAGAGACCGGAAAGCAGTGATAATGCTCGTCATTTGCTCTGTGACTCGAATGACGTATCAAAATGTTTCAGATAACCAGAGGGGTTTCTGAACTTTGATATAATATGTGTATCCAAAGAATAATAAAATGTAACGGATATATACTGGGTGAAATAAAGAAATTGTATCATCCTGCCAAACACTTCAGCGTTATCGGTAAATAATTTGAGCAAAGGGGAAACCCAGATCCGAATCCTTATCAGACCACTACACCAGTAAGTGTCCTTACTGCCAAGACACCTAACAATATATATGCCCCTTCCTCAAATCCTCATAGATTGTAAACCACTGTGGAATATGTTGATGCTATAGAAATGCTGATAATAGAAATAGCTAACCATCCAGAATGCAGGACACATTCACCCTAAAAAATGTTTGTCAAGTCATTGTTGCACTATAGAATAGTGCTAGTTAATGTAATTTGTGTAGAGCCAATGGGACAGAGGACCGATGTCCAAAGGGGTTAATGTACATAGGAATGTGATAGATGTCTGAAGGTTTACAACTCCTTTGAATTTGTGACTCCAGAGCCCCACTGCAAGGTGTGAAATGTTACCGATGATTACCTGTAAGTCTAGCTTCAATGTTATTGGCTTTTACCATAAGCCTCTATATCACCACTTTTATATAGTGGGTTCCTTTGATATAACGGCCATTAGCATTCAAGAGAACCCTTGTGTCCCAGTATGATATCCAAAATAAACATTTATAATAACCCAAAGATTAATAATCGTGCCTCATTTTGTGTATATTTAGAATGGGACAAGCAAAGTCTTCGAAACAAGTATAAACATTATTAGCGCAACATAAGCAGTTTGGAAGGAATTGTGATGTCCATTAGATTAGGTCCTAGTACGGTATGTGACATATCTATGGAATGGAAACATGGCAACAAATTCATGTGGCAAGCCCAAAAGAGAATCTAAAACAAAAAGTTTCTATTTTGATTGATGCTGGTCTGGAACACAAGGGGCTGGTCACTTATTGTTTCTATAGGTATTCCTTATCTTCACTTCTGGGCCAGGCTTGGAAACCTGAGATGAATCCAGTGGGTATGTATACAATGATATGTAAATGTCTAGTATACATGCGTGGGGCCAAAATCTAACTTTAAGCGAGTAACCATCTTTCCCTGCCAGAGACAACCTGGACAGAAAGACACTGTTACTTTTAAAACATAAGTGAGTGAGTAATTAGGACTTCTGTTAAATTCTCATTTTTGTTTTTGTCTTTTATTGGTGTAAATAATTTGTCACCTATTTTTTGTATGCACTGTTACTATTTTTGTTCATAATAAACATTCCTTTATTCTGCAATTCTGCCTTTGTTTGGTAAACAATCACGGTACCCGAATAGACAAATTAATTGGTGTTCTGCAATTGCAAAGATATTGTGCTAAATGGTATTTGATGTTTTTTTTATTTATTTACCTGAGGGACCATTCAAAAATAAGTGTGGGTGGTGTAAACTGAGGATTTTTATCGTTATTTCCAGTCTAATGCAGACAAATAGTGGATTTTAACCCTTTCACCACCAGAACCAAGTCATGCGCACACTTGGAGTAGGGTGTGCATTCGTGACATTGTTTGCAGGGTTTATCCAGTAATCAGCATCTTTCAGTAAATCAAGGACCAAACCAACAAAACACGGGCCCAAAAATATGAAGTCGGATAAAATCTCCAATTTGTTTTCCAATATCCAATGTCAATATCTATAAGAGATCCTTTTATTGCATTATTTTTTAAAATGTACTTTCAATAAATATATATATATTTAAAAAGTGTGCATTTCAATCCCCAAACCAATACAGCATAAATTGATAAAGAAAAATAAATGTGTTCTTTAAAAGAATGTAGAGAGTTAACTGGATCATCCAATAGTTTTTTCATAGATTTGTTTTTTTTTTTTTTTCTAAGGGATTTTTTGTATTGCTTTATTTTTACTGAAATTGTAACCCAATTTATTTTGTTTGCAGTAAACTATTGGTTTTTGGCTGGATGCCTTATTACTATGGTAACATACTCTATAATCTTAGCCATTTCCTGTTTTTACCACTGTCTAGACTCCATCACTGACAAACTGTTTGGAATAACACAACCTGGATAGCATTTGTCTTTTTCTATGGATATGCTTTTAACTGTAAATTGAGAGTTTCATTAAATTGACAATAAACATGGGAACAGAAAAATTTAGATGAAACACATCACCATAAAACCGCTGCTGAATATCTATCTAATCTATCCTATCATATCCATCTATCTTATCTATCTCTATTGGGTGTGATTAATGGAATACCATTAATGTAAGATAGACAAAGCCAGATAACATAAAACGTGTCAAACAGACAATGTGTTTAGAATAAGGTGATACTGTACAGAGAATTAACTCTTATCTTTATAGTAGTTTTTACTATAGCTGAAATGGAGAATGTTTCCAAATGAGCACTTTTTGACAAAACTTTTATATGTCGTGGGCGGTTTAGGCAACAAACCCAGTAGAGAATGGTAAGGAGAAACAATAGGCCCAGCAACAAAGTGTTAAGATGAATTTTGTTTTTCAACAACAGATGTTTGTACACAGATAGGGTGTGTAGACCAGGAAGATCATAAATAGAAATAGGGCTGCCATTAGGGAGGTAGAGGCAGTATTCCCATAAAGAGCCAGCGGGGTCCACTTTTGGAGATATAAATATATCCTCAACTGGACTGCACTGATTTTCTCCAATGGAGTGGGCCTCTAAACAGAGACCTCTGCTGGCTTCCATCCCACTTCTGTGGCAGTGATAAGATGATGTGATGCCAGATCACATCTTCCAAGTACACAGGATGTCACATGGAAGGGCAAGATGAGCTTGTATCCTATACAAGCCACCTACTGGTCCTGGGAAGCAACTTTCCTTCAGCTAGTAGGTAGGAAAACAGGAGGGTGGATAAAATGGTATAAAGTAAGTCTGACAAAATACTGTCCCTGAATAATTTCATGCATCCTACATGGCCACCCTTCTTTGCATGAAAGGGACAATTCACCAAAACTCTCAGAACTAAAGAGGTATGTCTGAGTCCCAAGTATACTGTTCTGTATCCTGGACTGCAGGTGTCCAGGCCACATCAGAGCCATGTTTGGTTCTTTATTTAACAAGTGTGAAGAGACAGTCTGGTCCTGCACTCGGTGCTCCAGTCAGCCTCATTTCTAAAGTTCCAACATTCTGCAGTCACTGGCCGGTGCAAACTTTGCTGGGAAACAGAAACCACTGAGACGTCGACCATACAACAGGTGCTGGGGGTGGGCAGTGTTTGTAATGAATTTCCATAACCCACAACATATGCATCCCCAGAACCAGGACACCAGTGTACAGGGCCAGTGACTAGGGAGCAAAGTCAGGATGGCATGAACCTACAATCAGGAACGTCCAGCCCAAATCAGGACTGCTTGGAGGCCCTCATTTCTCAGATCACATTTCTGTAGCTTTGCGTGTGATGAGAAGATATAAAGTATGCATTTCAAAGAGTTGGTTTCTGACAGTGTGTATCAGAGTGTGTCTGCTGGAATATATGTCTCTGTATATGTGTGTGTGTGCACACGTGCCTAGGACTTAGTGCATTTCATTTAAGTTGTATTTTTTTTTTTAAATTCTAATTTTTTTTTACAGTCTATTTTCAAGATGATACTTCATGTAGGACACTGAAGAAGTTTAAATCATGCGTTTAATTTAGCTCCTAAAGTCCCTAGCTGGCTAACATTTAGCATGGAGTGAAACATTTCTCACAATCAGAATTATTTTAGCCTTGTAGTATCTGCCAAGACGCGATGAAAAACATTCCAAATATCTGTTCACATGTCTTGTGTTGGATTAGCTAACTCAGAAATTGTTTGGGGAATGCAAGGATTTTTAGAACACAGTTAAGAGTTGCATAATATAGATATTTTTTCCCAAGAACAGATGTCTGGTAGGTGTTAATTGGTTACGATATACAATACAAAACAAGAAATAAAATTAAATTAAAAAACTCTCAGAATTAAGAAATTCGGAACCTTACTATTTTTTTTTTAAATAACATTTTATTGAAGTAAAAACCTGATAATATGTGAGTGCATATGTGAGGCATTTGATAAGTATACCAGTAACCATACTTATTTTAATACGTAAGCTAACACAACTGGGAATGTAGAGGCGCCAGGGAGTGAAACTCTCAAATAGGGAACATATGTCCTAAATATGTCATCTCTATGCATTTATCTACTATTTCAGTTGGGTGCGTGGGCATGTCCTTCACATCTCTTCATTCAAAACTCAAAGAATGTTATGTATAAATTAGTTTGTTTTACGCCAAACAGTAGTCCATAGTGGGGGGGGTAGATTAGCAGCTTTCATAGAACCACCAACAGTCTATGTCTGTTATCTTGACACTAGCACCAATTTAGCAAGGCAAATGTCTGTGCACATAGCTCGATGTTAGAGTGCCAACCTTTGTCGCCATCAAAACCTACCGATCTACCTGGACAGCATTAATTTCCACTAGACAAATATTCCCCCCCCAAAGAATGTAGCAGGAGATTTCGTAGAATGTAAGACAAAATTATGTCAAACCTGGGGCCGATCATTTGTGCTGGTGCATCGGGGAGACATCAGAGGAGTTAGAACACGATGTGCTGCTCTATGTATCTAGATGTTTATACATACCTTACAAATGTTTGTTTCATCATACATCTGTATAAAAACAAAATATTACTTATTTTTAATTTAAAATGTTTGCATCTTCTTTAATGCTATGGGGTCTGTGTCCAAAATGCTTTAAATTATTAGTTTTTCCTTTCTTTCTGCTGTAAGTAGACATGCCACCCATGAAGGGTTCTCCTGATGGCCATGAAAATGGAAAGCTATGTTAAATGGAAAAATCCATCAGAAACCCCTCATCATACACAAAAAGTGGACATGAATCCATGATCTGGTGGAATTCACGTGTTAATATACTTTAAAAAGGAAAAAATAAAAAATGCCAGACGCGTTCATTTAGGAATTTAGACGAGAACACAATTTGGACATAAGCTTTTTGAGCACGGTTGATTACAACGAGAAATTCAGCAAAGAACACAAATTAAATACAAAGGAATGGTGCCCAGACAATCAATTTTCTGCTACTATTGCAGCAATTCCTTGTAGACATTTCTGCAATCAATTCACAAATAATTATTTTTGTAGTGTCAACATTTTCCTGATGAGTGAACGATACATAAACATAATTTATGTAATATAATAGGACAATTGGAATTTATGAGCAAAAAAGGTAAGTAATGCTCTGCTAGATCAACGTGCATTATAGGGGATTGGTAATTATACAGAACATAAGGTTAAAGAACATACTTACCATAGTGAAGATTAGAATCCCCACTTGAGTGGGCATTTATTAAGGATTTAAACCCTTATGGGGTGAACTAAGACAGAAGTCTGGGCATGTCTTGGCTCTCTGTAAAGAAACTAATCACTTGGAGGAATAAAAGAAAAATGAGACTAGGCATCTCCAGGTCCTAATCAGGCATTACCCTGCACCCAACAGAATACCCAGTGGATTAAGAGGGGAGGCCCTGGTATTCTTGGCATACAATGAACCCAATGTGTTTTTTATTTTTTAAAGAATTTGCATTAGAGTCATTCAGTTCTTGCAGACCCCAGCATGGATTAACTTTTTATTCTCAGTGCACAGAGGAGATACCAGTGTAGCAAGCTGCTCTCCATTGCCGCACTGACAGAGTCCTAGTAAAAAACCATGTCCCTGGTCTCACTAGGTGTATTATTTCAGCTCGTAAAAGGTTTCCATGGTTTCCTGTTGAGTGTTTGCACTCTGAAAATATATTGTTTTACCAACTGGAGTCCCAAAGTTACACCAGTGAGGGAATTCCATTTGGGTGCAACTCTTACTCTGCCTATGGTGAAGTGTGACTAGTCACACGGAACCTGTTGGGGTTTTGCTTGATACATTTCTTTGCCCCTTTCCCTTAACGGCATATGTTAACCTTTCAAAATATATTGGTGTCTTTTCGCTTAATTTGATCCTTGAGAGTTACTTTGTTTGAGTAACTCGCACCTGACATGGTGCCCTGGATAACAGAAGGAAGTTTATTGTATAGGACACATTTCGGCAAGATGGCCTCCTTGATTGCTTCTAGCTTTCCTTTTACTGGAGGACTTCTGCTTTGACGTGGTTGAGGATCATTTAAAAGTACTGATTACAACTTTGCAAAAAAAAAAAAAAAAAAAGGATTTGGCTCTAATTTCTTACATTTGAGACAGTTGCATGTCAACTCTTTGACTTAACGGAGACTGTAAAGGGAAATGGAAGGTATCATTCGAATATGCTTTGTTTATGGAGCTGAAAATTTGATGAAGCCTTGTGGATGTCTGTACTTGGGTTTTCAAAATGGGTTGCATTTCATGACAAATCACTGCCCACAGCCAGATTCACAAAACTGAACCAGTCTATATATAAATGGACAGCAGTAAGAGTATGGCTGTGATTGGTTTATAGAGCAATTGCACTTATCCTAAGTGATAACTGCTCTTATAAATTTATTCCCTTTCATATAAGGTGTTACTTATCAGTAGATGTTTATGGGGTAAAATCAGACCCCGTAAGTCTTACTAAGATGTTTTCTGAATAGTGCAGACACTTCCTGACTAGTCTGCTTGTCAAACCTATCAAACCCAAAAAACTTTTTGAAAATCATAAATAGCATACAAACCCCCGCAATCCACTCCCAACCCTCCACTGTCAAAATGGACAACCAAACACTGCAACACCCCCTAGTTGTAGCGAACGCCTTTAATAATTATTTTGTTGGATGTGCCACCACCCTGGTTGCTAAGATAACAAATGACACTCATTTTCAGACCACAAATATAGATCAGGTCCTGCCAAATCTTCAAAATCCTCATACAGAGAATTTACATTTTAGACCTGTGCCTGTTAGTGTCGTTAATAAACATCTTAATAATTTAAAAATGGAAATCCAGTGTGGACCAGATTCAATCCCAGCAATGTTGCTGAACCTCAGTGCGCCAGCAATTGCTAAACCTGTCACTACCCTTATCAATAAATCCCTGGTGTCAGGATAAACTTTGGAAAACTGCAAACGTTGTACCTATCCATAAAAGTGATGACAATACTTTGGTATCTAACTATCACCCGAGATCATTGCTCCCTGTATTGTCAAAAATCCTGGAAAAATGCGTCCACATGCAACTATGTGAATATTATCAACAATCAAATTATCTGGCCTCTGATCAATCAGGCTTTCGTCCAAATCACTCAACTTCGACTGCCCTCTTAAAAGTTTGCAATGACATCCAAATTGGCATGGAACAAGGAGACTTAACTGGAGCAATTTTCCTTGATTTTGCCATCGCTGGAATCCCGACGCACTCTTCATCTTTCCAGCCTTGTGCAAAAGAGCATTTCTGGGAAGCTCCCACTCTACCTAAGTAGAATGCTCTCCCCAGCTGCTCCTAACCTCCAATCCAGTACTAGCATGATATTTAGCATACCGCAATACAAAAACAAAGTGGCTTGATCCTCATTTTCCTACAGAGCAGCACAATTATGGAATAACCTCAGGGACACAGTCAAATCTTTATTCAATCTAAAATCTTTTAAGAGATCTCTGGCAATATACCTCAGCACAGAATGCACCTGTCATGGTTGAATATATGTATTACCTGTTGTGTATTAAATTTATATATGTGTGTATGTATATAACTCAGAAAGAGAGCTAATTGCTCTGTCTAAAGCAGTGGAGATGGTAGAGGTGCTTGGCAGACCCCAGCTAAGAAATATATATATTTATATTGAATTTTTGTAATATTGTATCAATGCAATGTTTGTGGAACCAGAACATACTTGAAAACAAGAGAAACCTCAATGTATCCATCCTGGTAAACTATTTTATAAATAAAGCACATAACTGCAACCATATATTTAGGACATATGCCTAAAGGGTCACCTATAATCTAAATCTAATCCTATAATTGTTAGCAGTAGACAAACATTACAAAGAGCACAAACTATTAAACACATATCTGAATAACAATTCGGGATCTTCACAAACTACTTCACAGAGAAAAGCAAGGAAACTATTTACTGATAAATGCAAACCTCATTTCAAGTGTATCCCAAATAATTTCTCTTTGACAGTTCTCTCTACAACATTCTGTACTACAGAACAATCTCACAGCCTTCTAAACTTCATGGCTTGCTGAAAATTTATACAAGAACATTCAGGTCATGGGACTTACAAATTAATCATTTGTTTATTTTTCAAAACTTATTAAATTAGGTCATACAAAATTCACAAATGTTGAGGTTTCATGTTTAATTTTATCCAAAGTAGTAGGAATGGTGGAGGCTGGTGAAAAAAGGGTTTTTTTTTGTACCATGTTAATGACATTTTCCATGGCCATGCGTAAAAACACCTTTCAGAATGAATCAATTATGCACATCGGAAAATGCAGCAAACAAAACCTTGTTTGATCTCCTCATAGACTATTGTAAATTCCATAAAAGAATCCTACGTCAAACACGGCCGAATGCTTTTGAGAAGTCTGTCATTGTGTACACTGTACCCCATCCAACCTCGTGGTTCATACTGATAAAATCATCCAGGTTCATGGATGCTTCTGAAAAGAAGACAGACATCATGCATTATAACTTTCATTTCTGGTTACTAAACCGACAGTTTGATACAGTGCTTCTCACTAAGCATTTCTCCTCAATTTATTTTTGTCCAAATTTGGCAAAATGGATATTGATTCCCCTGAGTCAGCCCTGCTGGGATTTGAACCTGTGACACAAGGGTTAAACTGATTCTACTGATGATGCATTCGCCCACTTAGCTATGTATATATTTCAATGAGTTTCAAAGTATGCATGTGCGCGCGCACGCACACACACACACACACACACTCTCTCTCTCTCGAGAATTACCTGCTGTTTTAATGCATGGATAATTTGGTGGTGGTTTTGTCCAGCTGCCCCGAGCGTTTTTCATGTGTGATCGATCAGAAGCAAATGTTCTCAGAAACTCATCTGCTCGAATGACTCTCAGACGCCTAAAATCAACAAAACACAAACTGTGATTTGATGCAATCTATTTACAGAATAAACAGACATGAAGAGCACTCCCCCCTCACTTAAACAACGCACAACAGATATGTTATAGCTGCTATCCATTTACTTGAATTTATTTTGCAATATGACCTTGGTAGAAACGCTGACATACTACAGACAATTCTTGGGAATATGTTTCACGAGTATGTATGCACACACAAACACACACACTTCACAAGCCTCCACCGCACAATATTGTAAGCAGTCAAACCATTGTAGAACAGTTTGACGTCTTACCTTGCATCCACTGGGCACAGCTCCCTGCCTCAACTACTTCCTTTAAAAAGTTTGAAGCTCCATATAAGAGTGCCTGTTAGTTCTTCTGAGCTAAGCCCTAAAGTCGCTGGGAACGCCAGCATACTATTCTTAGCCAATCAGCGAAGCCCTGCAATGCTTGGCTTAACTCAGAAAGAGAGCCAATGGCTCTGTCTAAAGCAGTGGAGGTGGGAGAGGTGCTTGGCAGACCCTAGCTAAGAATGGGGTACATAAAATGGGTGAGGTGCCAGGCCACTCCTGGCACATTAACCACAACAGTGTGCTGTAGTGGTTATAGTGCTTGAAATGCTCCTTTACAGATAGTCTCTTCCCTTGCCTATCAATATTTGGCATAGACTATGCGGAGAAATGAGTGAGAAGGATGAGGGGGAGATCCCTATTTGCAATTAAAAGAAAAAAGCACCACAACTACCTACACTCTTTGCAGAACTTTCCACTATTTTATCATTCCATATTAGGCCCTCAGGGAATCTGGCAGCACAGGTTTTTGGGATGAAAACATGAGAAATACAGACCATAGTTGTCCTAATATGACAAGATCCTGAAAGCCCACCTTGTTGGTGAAACTATTCAGTAAAAGTTACAGGAATTCTTTAGAACACAGAGGTAGAAATTCTTACCTGACGATTCCCTTTCATTTGGTATCACAGCCAGCACACTACAAGAGAGAGAGAGTTCCTCCTTTTCTGAGATAGGGCAGGACTTCCAAAACTCAAATTAGGATCCACCTCGGGTGGCTGCCCTGTTGCTAAAGAGGACAAGAGTATGAAAAATTATGAAAATAAAGGGAGGCTATAATGGTGCTACACAAGGTACAGAATTCATTTTTTTTGCTTTCTACTTTCCTCATCATCCCTGTAGCACATTTAGATATACATTTTAAATCTTATATCATATGGCAAAGTGTAAAACTTGTTTATTCGTGTAATGTTGTGTCTTTTAGACAGCATCTTTAAGCTGGGTGTGCTGAACATTTGCAGGTCTTCGAAATGGCTGAATGTGAGGTCTGGGCAAGCCAAAGGCCATTTCTCTATGACTAAATTTACAAAACAGGAGAAAATGCCGACATGGGAGGAACATGACACCAAAACAACTTTATCTTAATGAAGCAGTCTTAGTGTGTAGATAGTACACATGAAAAGGGTTCAGCTTTTTTTTTTTTTGGGGGGGGTATGTGGTCTGTCCTGCCACCCCTAGTTGAGAGATGCCAATGTATCCTTGACAAATCTGCCTATTTTGTGATTTTTGCAGTTTTAGTTTTGTTTTATAAAATACTTTTTTGTAAGTTATCCACTTTATATGTTTAATCATAGGAGTGCATAAACCATATTTTATCATGGGAAACTGACCCATAATATGATTTGGATTTTTGCATCTTGTTAGAACACACTGTTGAAAAGTGTGTGTGTCTGGTTTGAAAATGATTGTTAATTTAATAGTTTGCTCTATATATTGGGGAAGTGGCAGAATGTGTATATTTTTACTCTTGAGCATTTCATTGTACACATAATGGCCTTCAGTCTCCCTGCTTAACTCAACTGCCTACCATTTCGGAGTTAACATTTACAAGGAGTTACCTTTTAAATATGCAGCCCTAAATATACCTCATCTGGTCTGACACAGGGTTAATACCGCTTCATAGAATAGCCCAAAGTACAGCAAATTGGAAGTCCTGCCCGATCTTTTGTAGTGTGCTTCTGTGATGTCAACGAAAAAAAATTCCAGTTTATATGAATAAAAAGATAGGCAAGCATAAAAGGGTAAATGTATTCCGTCAACATTATGAAAAAAAGGATCTATTCAGTGTCCCTCATTCTGGACTGGAAGGTATAAGCTGAACGGGATCAGATCTGAAGCACAGCATGCTCACACAGCATCTGATAAATCATACTTTGTCCATTCATCAAAAAACATACCTTTGATACTGAGGGTTCCACTCGAGGTCGGTCCTGAGTGCCTTGTCTATATACATAGAACAAGAACAGGGGAAGGGCAGCACGGAATCTAGATCATAAATACACGTCTGACCTCTGGAGGCATGCAGCAACACAACGTGGTAATCCTAGCATGGAAGAAGAAAGGTGTAATGTAACAAGTTACTTTCTGGTTCTAAGATGCTTTGCTAAAGTACAGCAAGACACTACAAAACAGACATAGGACTTAATTCAGCCTAAACAGGCTCCTAATAATGCCAACATGATAAAAACGGGAGGAATACAAGGCATTTATCAAATTAAAAGCACAGTGTACACCTGAATACATAGACTTGAATAAAAATAAGATTGTCATACACGGCTATTAACCAAGGCGAGAATTCTACATGAATTTTAAATTTAGGTGCAAACTGGAAGCACAGTTGATTTATAGAATTCTTTCACTTTGGCTATTTTAGCATTGCATTTTAAATTTCACTATGGATTCACTTTGAATTTTCAATTAAGTTAATATTCCTGAGAGAGTCATAACTTTTCGGTAGGAGATTGTTTGCAGCAGGTTGGTCAGTAATGATCACATGACGATGGCTCCCTCTGCAGGTTACATATGTATGCAACACCCAGAAGTTTACAAAAATACAATGGTACCCAACGCTGCACAGAATCCAAAGTTAACATTTTCGGCCAAGGTAGCTGAGCTTGAAGGATAGCGGACTTAGAGAATGGTACCAGTTGGACTATTTTGGACTAAAAATAGTAATTGACTTTGAATTCTCGCTATATTAAATAACTATGTATATGTGTCAATCTATGTGACCATAAATAGTCATCACAACTAACCTACCAATATCAGTCACCTGCAGAACAATGGGATCTGGGGTCCCTGGCTGGTTTTTGACTATGTGCAAATAATCTGACGAAGAAACTAGCACTCACCCATACAACAGGTTCATCAACTGCTCCGTTCTTCTGCTCCCAGATCGGGATCTGTAAAAGAATAAATCATGTTAGAGAAGGAACATGGAATAATAATGCCCAAAGAAAATGGAGATGAGAAAGAAAAAAAGAAAAAGTATTCTGCATCCAGGAATCCCGTACACAGCCAACACTGACAAGAGTAAAAGCTGCAACACAAACAGAATACACACTATTTAATGTTTTATTAAAGCAAAGAAATAGCAGTAAAATAAGATTAAGCTTACTTTTAAAATAACCACATTTTTTACATTATGGGATTAAACACACCTCTATTAGGCTCTGTCATCCAGTCCTGAGGAAATGTGAAGATATATATATATATATATATATTTGTTTTGTTTTTTTAAATCAATTCCAGGGAATTTAAACCCTTAAATAAGTACAGCAGCAGCTCATTCGGTAAGGGCAGCATGTCATCCTAGTGTGTACCACTTAGTTGGCTGTTGGCCCACGTGCCACCTCTCACTCCTGCCATGACAACTGATAGAATTTACAGGTCTGAAAAACACTTAGCTTCCCTTTCATACGACAGTTGCCAATCATTAGATTTCAATGCAACAAAATTTCAAAGCGCAAAGAACACTGACCAAGATTTTGTTTACAGACTTTGCATCATCTCGCATGGAAGCGGAAATTTTGAAATGGATATTTTTTTAGTTATTATCCTGTTTTGTTGGTTTTTAATTAACTGATGAGATGTTACACTTTCACCTTACCGTTTTGTTTAGATTGGATATGAACACAGCAGAAAATTCCTCCAGGACATGAGGATGCTGATCACGGATGTACTCACACAGCTTCCAGACATTTTCTTCACTTTAGACAAACAAAAATGTCAGAGGTTACCTTGAAGAACCAGTTGCAAACAGAAACAAAATAGAACACGTGTAACAGATGTATTATATATCTGTGTATTTGTAATTTCTTATTTCAGCGTATTTGGCCCATTTCCCCGCTCCCCCACATGCACATTTACGTGAGTCTAGTTCTAATGTCCCTCGGTGTTGGCTTGGGTCTGCATCTGCTCCTCCGCCACCGAAGTGAGCTAGCAGGGGAGACTTAATCCGTGGCAATGGCTGCGCCACATTAGTATTTGCCCAAAAGAAAGCATTATACAATGCATTCCTATGGGAATTCCAGGGACGCTTGGTGTCCTCAAAGTGCGAGGACGTCCAGCATCAGTTGAGTGACCAAAAGTTGCCCAATGACCTGGAAGTTGCTCTAGTGGCTGTCTAGTGGACAACCACTAAAGGTGGAGTTAAGCCACAAAATTAAGTATTGCAGTTAACAAAAAAACTGCAATAAATAGCTTTGCAGGGTTAAAGATGCTAGGACAGTGCACACACCACTTCAATAAGCTGAAGTGGTCTAGGTGCTTATAGTGTCCCTTTAAATATGGCAATCCTACATAAGGATAACAAATAAGGGAGTTATCTACTAAACAAATTAAATATCAAAATTAAGAATAATGGGTTTTTAAAGTTTTATTAAATAAATATGATATAATATATTTTGTATGGCTCTAGACAATTCCTCTTCTCTCAATGTGGCACGGGGAAGCTAAAACGTTGGACACCCATGATCTATATGGAACTGATACACTAATGTTTTGGAGATAACATTGTATCTGTGGATTATATGAGAACATTTTTGAAATTTCTGTCATGACAGTTGGTTGGCTCCCCTCCTTAAAACTTAATTTACTTATTACTCAATGTTGTTAGTTTTGAGTATTTAATCAAACACTTTGAAAAAGCCTTGTCAACGGTGAAACGTGTTAGCATTATTTCTCTACCTGATTTAGTCACTTTTAAGGATGTATATAGATATACAGTTTTTAAGTGAATTTTACATTTCTGGACCATCCTCACTTTTTTGAGAGTTTATATATACAATCTTCTTTGATGGGGAACATACCACCTACACCCTATGTTTTGATTAAAACCATAATTGTGCTATATGCCAGTGAGTACCTCCCCAATATTTTTACTATACCTTGTTTATCTACAGTGAGCACTATATTTTATTTCTGATTTTATTCACATTTACCATGTAGAAAACTTTAGCCATTTAAGAAGATCCTAGTGGGTATTGTTATATTTTATGTTGTTTTCTTGGAATGCATCACATGGGAGAGGTTCCATATTGTCTCCTTACCAGTATCACACAGAAATGGAGAGGTTCCATATTGTCTCCTTACCAGTATCACACAGGAATGGAGAGGTTCCATATTATCGCCTTACCAGTAACAAACAGGACATGGAGAGGTTCCATATTGTCTCCTTACCAGTAACACACAGGGCATGGAGAGGTTCCATATTGTCTCCTTACCAGTAACACACAGGGCATGGAGAGGTTCCATATTGTCTCCTTACCAGTAACACACAAGACATGGAGAGGTTCCATATTGCCTCCTTACCAGTAACACACAGGGCATGGAGAGGTTCCATATTGTCTCCTTACCAGTAACACACAGGGCATGGAGAGGTTCCATATTGTCTCCTTACCAGTAACACACAGGGCATGGAGAGGTTCCATATTGTCTCCTTACCAGTAACACACAAGACATGGAGAGGTTCCATATTGCCTCCTTACCAGTAACACACAGGGCATGGAGAGGTTCCATATTGTCTCCTTACCAGTATCACACAGGAATGGAGAGGTTCCATATTATCGCCTTACCAGTAACAAACAGGACATGGAGAGGTTCCATATTGTCTCCTTACCAGTAACACACAGGGCATGGAGAGGTTCCATATTGTCTCCTTACCAGTAACACACAGGGCATGGAGAGGTTCCATATTGTCTCCTTACCAGTAACACACAAGACATGGAGAGGTTCCATATTGCCTCCTTACCAGTAACACACAGGGCATGGAGAGGTTCCATATTGTCTCCTTACCAGTAACACACAGGACATGGAGAGGTTCCATATTGTCTCCTTACCAGTAACACACAGGGCATGGAGAGGTTCCATATTGTCTCCTTACCAGTAACACACAAGACATGGAGAGGTTCCATATTGCCTCCTTACCAGTAACACACAGGGCATGGAGAGGTTCCATATTGTCTCCTTACCAGTAACACACAGGACATGGAGAGGTTCCATATTGTCTCCTTACCAGTAACACACAGGACATGGTGAGGTTCCATATTGCCTCCTTACCAGTAACACACAGGAATGGAGAGGTTCCATATTGTCTCCTTACCAGTAACAGACAGGGCATGGAGAGATTCCATATTGCCTCCTTACCAGTAACACACAGGGCATGGAGAGGTTCCATATTGTCTCCTTACCAGTAACACATAGGAATGGAGAGGTTCCATATTGTCTCCTTACCAGTAACACACAGGACATGGTGAGGTTCCATATTGTCTCCTTACCAGTAACACACAGGGCATGGAGAGGTTCCATATTGCCTCCTTACCAGTAACACACAGGACATGGAGAGGTTCCATATTGCCTCCTTACCAGTAACACACAGGGCATGGAGAGATTCCATATTGTCTCCTTACCAGTAACACACAGGACATGGAGAGGTTCCATATTGTCTCCTTACCAGTAACACACAGGACATGGAGAGGTTCCATACTGTCTCCTTACCAGTAACACACAGGACATGGAGAGGTTCCATATTGTCTCCTTACCAGTAATACACAGGACATGGAGAGGTTCCATATTGTCTCCTTACCAGTAACACACAGGACATGGTGAGGTTCCATATTGTCTCCTTACCAGTAACACACAGGGCATGGAGAGGTTCCATATTGTCTCCTTACCAGTAACACACAGGACATGGTGAGGTTCCATATTGTCTTACCAGACATGGAGAGGTTCCAACACACACAGGACATGGAGAGGTTCCATATTGCCTCCTTACCAGTAACACACAGGCATGGAGAGATTCCATTGTCTCCTTACCAGTAACACACAGGACATGGAGAGGTTCCATATTGTCTCCTTACCAGTAACACACAGGACATGGAGAGGTTCCATACTGTCTCCTTACCAGTAACACACAGGACATGGAGAGGTTCCATATTGTCTCCTTACCAGTAATACACAGGACATGGAGAGGTTCCATATTGTCTCCTTACCAGTAACACACAGGACATGGAGAGGTTCCATACTGTCTCCTTACCAGTAACACACAGGACATGGAGAGGTTCCATACTGTCTCCTTACCAGTAACACACAGGACATGGAGAGGTTCCATATTGTCTCCTTACCAGTAACACACAGGACATGGAGAGGTTCCATACTGTCTCCTTACCAGTAACACACAGGACATGGAGAGGTTCCATACTGTCTCCTTACCAGTAACAGCTGGTGTAGATACAGTCTCTGCGCCCTGGGAGCAGTGAAGATGAAGAGGCTCCATGCTCCATGTTAACCCAGCAGTGAGCAGCTCAGACTGGGTCACTCCATCCTCCCATGGCGCTAAGCTTTGCTGCTTCCACCTGTGACCCCTCCATGTGTCACATGACCTGAGCACTGCTGCAAAACAGCCGCCATGTTGGTGGAGGCAGCTCTCTATATGTTTAATTAAATCACATTTCTTTGATTGTGGGATACTAAAAGCACGGCTCGTGTTAATTGAAACGTAAAATAACATTATTCCCCGAGTTTGTGTTTAAGACGTGAAGCCTGGGATTGCTTGCCACAACTAACCCCCCATTACATGGATACACCCATACATGCTGGGGAAAGGGATGGCTACGTCATCAGTGCGACAGCGAGTCGCAAGCTCTGACTCTAACCAATCAGAGCGCGCCCTCAGTTCCCGCGCTAAAACCGAACGCGTCGCCCTTGGGTTTTGTGTTGTCCCTCCGCGAAAGATAAAGTGCCGTGTAAAATAGTGCCTCAGTATTTCAAGCCAGGGGTCCAAACCCGTTCTTTTTTTAAGCGCCCGTTTTATTGCAGCTGATATAACGATAAAAGACACACTGGTGTGTTGTGGTTCCGGGAGGCTGACTCTTCCTTTTTCCCTCCCAGGTCTCTGCCCGCGCGGAGGGATCCATGTTGTGCGGCGGCCAGGACGCTGTGAGGTAGTTGTGAGGAAAGTTTGTGGCGCCAGAATTGAGATTGGCGGCCGATAGTTTGCTGGGCGAGTCATGGTGCGGTTACGGAGCACCAGCGGGCCGGGCAGGCCTCCCAGTTACCGGGAGGAGGAGGACGAGGACTCCCTGCTGGACTGCAGCGCGGACTTCCTCACACTGCCGGCTGCCGATAAGAAGGGCGGCCGGAGCTCGCTGAGGCGGCGGCGGAGTGGGACTCAGTCTGAGGCGGACAAGCCGGGCAGTGAGGTCAGTACCGAGCCGGGGGCAGTGAGGTCAGTACCGAGCCGGGGGCAGTGAGGTCAGTACCGAGCCGGGGGCAGTGAGGTCAGTACCGAGCCGGGGGCAGTGAGGTCAGTACCGAGCCGGGGGCAGTGCTCGCTCATGGCGGAGATCGGCCTCACTGGCTGAATGGCACCTTAGTGGGAGTCTCACCTGAGCATCATGGGAGCTGCAGTCCTCTTCAATCCTAATGGCAATGTTCGAGCTGGCACCATGGGAGTTGGAGTCCTAAACATTTTACATTGCCAGTGTCTGGCTGGGAATTGTGGGAGCTGACATCCTCTGTGTTCAGGTAGCCAGTGTCTGGCTGGGCATTGTGGGAGCTGACATCCTCTGTGTTCAGGTAGCCGGTGTCTGGCTGGGCATTGTGGGAGCTGACATCCTCTGTGTTCAGGTAGCCGGTGTCTGGCTGGGCATTGTGGGAGCTGACATCCTCTGTGTTCAGGTAGCCGGTGTCTGGCTGGGCATTGTGGGAGCTGACATCCTCTGTGTTCAGGTAGCCGGTGTCTGGCTGGACATTGTGGGAGCTGACATCCTCTGTGTTCAGGTAGCCGGTGTCTGGCTGGGCATTGTGGGAGCTGACATCCTCTGTGTTCAGGTAGCCGGTGTCTGGCTGGGCATTGTGGGAGCTGACATCCTCTGTGTTCAGGTAGCCGGTGTCTGGCTGGGCATTGTGGGAGCTGACATCCTCTGTGTTCAGGTAGCCGGTGTCTGGCTGGGCATTGTGGGAGCTGACATCCTCTGTGTTCAGGTAGCCGGTGTCTGGCTGGGCATTGTGGGAGCTGACATCCTCTGTGTTCAGGTAGCCGGTGTCTGGCTGGGCATTTTGGGAGCTGACATCCTCTGTGTTCAGGTAGCCGGTGTCTGGCTGGGCATTGTGGGAGCTGACATCCTCTGTGTTCAGGTAGCCGGTGTCTGGCTGGGCATTGTGGGAGCTGACATCCTCTGTGTTCAGGTAGCCGGTGTCTGGCTGGGCCTGGTGTCTGGCTGGGCATTTTGGGAGCTGTTGTCCTCTACATCTCCCACAATGCCCAACCAGACACTGGCAATCTGACCGTAGAGGACTACAACTCCCACAGTGCCCAGCCAGACACTGGCAATCTGACCGTAGAGGACTACAACTCCCACAGTGCCCAGCCAGACACTGGCAATCTGACCGTAGAGGACTACAACTCCCACGGTGCCCAGCCAGACACTGGCAATCTGTGTTCAGGTAGCCGGTGTCTGGCTGGGCATTTTGGGAGCTGACATCCTCTGTGTTCAGGTAGCCGGTGTCTGGCGGGGCATTTTGGGGGCTGTCTTCTCTGTGTTCAGGTTGCTGGTGTCTGGCTGGGCATTTTGGGAGCTGTCTTCTCTGTTCAGATTGCTGGTGTCTGGCTGGGCATTTTGGGAGCTGGTGTCTGGCTGGGCATTTTGGGAGCTGTTGTCCTCTACATCTCCCACAATGCCCAACCAGACACTGGCAATCTGACCGTAGAGGACTACAACTCCCACTGTGCCCAGCCAGACACTGGCAATCTGACCGTAGAGGACTACAACTCCCACAGTGCCCAGCCAGACACTGGCAATCTGACCGTAGAGGACTACAACTCCCACGGTGCCCAGCCAGACACTGGCAATCTGAACATAGTCCTCTACAGATTGCCAGTGTATGGCTGGGCATTGTGGAAGCTGTCATCCTCTACCATCAGATTGCTAGTGTCTTGCTGCGCTTTGTGGTAGCTTGCAGTCTTGCAATACATGGAGGGAAATATGATGGGCAGTCTGGCGTTGCTGTGATTATGATAGGCTGCAGTGACCATCCCCCGGTTCTGCGTTAAACCTTGTTTACCTGGAACAATCATGGCCTCATTCAAATTTGTGTCCTTTCAAATGCAGTCTTTACTATATTGCCATTTCATTTTGTTCCATATTTGCACTGGGTTGACAAGCTTACATGCTCCGTCACATGCATTTACTATTACCTGCCACAGGTGCATCAGGATCCCCTGCTTTTGGTTAAACTGCTCAAATTTTCAGCAACAACTGGAGTATGGTATTTGTACTTTTGATATTTGTTTAATACAGAGCAATGTTTACATCTGGATTTTATTTTTTTCTTGAATGCATGTATTTTTATAAACTAGCTTTATAGTTAACAGTAACTTATCTTAAAGTAGTTATGGTGCGAAGACCCTAACTTTTCTTTAAAAAATGCTTAATACATTGGACAAGCTGCTCATGGCTGACTGTTGCAAAGCTCTTGTTGGCCCTCTCGCTAGAAATGAACTGTCTAGCTACCTGTTAAAGAAAAGGGTGAGGAGGGTGTGTTTTTCGACCACTTCCATTCCTATTTGCCGAGGGATAAAAACACAAGTCTTTGTTTAAATCTTGTGCCCCATCAAAGAGTGCAAGAAGTTGCCTATCTGTGCTGAACTACAACTCTTATCACACACAGTAAAACTCTGGCTGGTTAAAATCAAAATACGCATCTGATGTAATATATTGTGTAGTGCCAAAATGTTGTGCACTTTGTCCTGAGACAAACTGGTACTAAAGTAGATAATGAGATCATTTTGTTAGAGCTTCAGAATTATTTCAGCAAATTTTAATAAATGGGGGGGGGGGTGAAACAGATTACTTATATGGATTAAAAAGTAGTCTGTGTGTATATACACAAATCTTTATTGAGCAAGATAGATTACATGGCATAAACCAACCAATGAATGCAGCAAAGACAAAACAAATATATCAAGTCATTGGTGCAAGGATCTCTTATGTGTTTGTTTTGTCTTTACTGAATTTTCTTAGATTTATGGATTTGGGGAGTTAATGCAAAAGTATTTTAATCGACACGTAACTAATGCATATCCCTAATATACCACTTTCCCTTTTTTGAACTGGGGCAGCAACTTGCCCATAATCTGTTATATATTGTCTTCAGTTGATTCAATATAATTGATTGTATTACAATAACAGTATATATAGCAGGACTTTTCTAAAGCCTAAAATGAACAACAAATACCTGAAGAAGAATCACCAACACTGTGAGGGTGACATCACAGAAAAAGTAAATCCCCCGAAAGATGTTAAATGAGTGACATCACAGCTACCAATAGTAGTATAGTAAGACAAGTAACAGAAGAAATTAAGCTGCTGCCCCAGTCATAGAAATCGTATCAGGAAGGTGTAATAATTGTAATAACTTTAACTTTTGGTGTTTTTCCATTTACTCTATAAAAGGATCCCAAGCTTATTCTGCGTCTCTGGTGCTGGTGACTTGATTCCCGAACAACTGCACTATAAGAACTGACACACAAAATAAGATGAAGCATTGCTTGCTGTGCCAATTTATTGGGAATAGTGCAGACACGGAGCAATACAACTAAAATAAAAGCAAAGACATGTATACAAAAGAAAAGCATTTGGCTGCACTCTTCCTAATTGTCACAACAAGGAACGCTTCATCTCATCTTGTATGTAAGTTGTTTTGTGTGCATTTTTTTTTTTAACATTCATTAATTAGTAAATTGAGAAACCAGTGAGCAAGCATCTTACCTGTCCTAAAGTAATAAGTATCACAATAAAGGAAAATGGAAACAAAACAATCAGAGATTATGTATTCCGAAATAATGCAAGAGTTAAACAATACTGTACTGTATAAGTAGACTTGCAAAACTCTGATACACATGTATCTAACTACAGTTTCTGGAGGAGGAAACTGAAAGTTAACATGAAAGCAATGTAGTACATATTACTTTAAGAACAGAGCACTGATAGGCTGTAAAAGGCCTGCTAAACGCATGATTAGAGAGGTTCATTTGTAAAAAACAAAACACAAAAAAAAACTTTTTTTCTTACAGAAAGGGCTAATTTAATTAGCAATCAGGACTTTTATAAATGTGTTTGACACCCCCTTGGCTTTCAGACAACCTGTCCTTTTACTTCCTGGTTGCAGCTCAGTGGAGCTAAACTCAAGAAGCAGCAATTGTCCAGAGCACCTGCCTTGCAAAGAATTCCCATTGAGCTGCATTGGGAAGTCTGTGATTAGACTGCCACAAAGTCTGAACTGGGGAAAAAGTGGAGGGCTTGCAAAGACTGCAAACAAGGGATCTGCAGGTTTTGCAAGCTATTTTTAGAAGTATTTCATTTATAGTATATCTGCTGAACAGTAGTTTTTATTTGGGTTGTGGAGTGTTTCTTTGTATATTCATTACTTTTTTTAACATAGTTTCCCTTTGAAGCTTTTCTTGTTTACCTGCCTTTTGAATACTTGTTTGTCTTGATATGTTTACATTTGACTTGCATGACTCATTAAGTTATGTATAAAAAGTGACTTTTTCTGAAAAGTGTTGCATACATGGAAAAGGGATGAAATCACCAGTGCAGTGTGCCTGCTTGTTCCCTTCGTTTCCATGGTGACTGCCAAACTTTCAGTACATTAGAGCACTTTTCAGAACACAGCACCTTTCATACATAACCTTTGTTGTATTTATACAATAAGTTGATAAATCGGGTGTTTTGGAATGAAATATGTGAAATTGATGAGCTACCTTTCTACTTTCTGCAATCTTTTGTTTTATTCACAAGGGCGGTATTTATTGGAAAATTTAGCCCTGTCAAGGATGCTCTGTGTATGTATACATGAGTGTGTAGTATGCACATTGCCAGACCTAGGCTGTATGGGCATGTCCACTGCTTCTCGTAGAGGAGTTGTGGATATGCTTAGTGTTATCCTGATGTGTGTAGACACACCAAACATAAAGACCTACGAAAACTGAAACTTTTCAATGAGGAAGACGCTAGAGGTGTAGTTTAAAAAAAAATAAAAAAATTTTAACGTTGCGGTTTCTCTGGAACATTAGCTATGCACCAAAAACACTACTTTAAGATGATGTGGTTTTGATGATTAGGGTGACCCTTAAAGGAACAATCTAGGATCAAAAACATGTATTCCTGACCCTATAGTATTAAAAACAGTCTTGCCCCTATATATTAAAACCTTAACTTTATTCTAGGCTGCTGGTGCTGGCTTTGCCCCGATCCGCCTCTTTGGCTGAAATAATCAAAATAGATTATCACAGCCAGTTGCATTGCTTTGAATTGGCTGAGTTCTTCAGTTTTGATTACCTCAGCAAAGAGGTGAGGATGGAGCCAAACACCATCCTGGCCAATCAGCATCCTCATAGAGATGTATCGAATCAATGCATCTCTATGGGGAAAGTTAAGCTTACCCATGCAGAGTGTGGAGACTCTGAACGTCAGGGCTTCATGCTGTTTAGCACTGACCCAGGAAGCGCCTCTGGCCGTCCGAGGAGAGGCCACTAAAGATGTTCCTAAGATGTAATCTAAACACTGCCTTGTCTCTGAAAAGGCAATGTTTATAGTAAAGAGCCTGTAGTTCTGGTGACTATAGTGTCCATTTAAAGACACATCTATCTAGAAAAAAAAAATATGGTAACGACAGTCAGAGAAAAGATGGGTGTGGGGAGACCAACAAAATGTAGTGGTTCTTAGGATCAGATGGTAGGTTTTTAAAAATGTATTATATAGAGTACCGCTAAACATTTTTGGGATATAAATAAGTCAGACTGGTGCTTTACAATTCCCCGCAGGTAGAACTCCCTGTGACCATTTTCATCCAGTTACTTTAATATAGTTTTTGTTTTCAGTTGAACGCATGTATGTGTTAAAATTAAAATAAATAATTTGTATTTCTCCCTTCTTTTCTTCTTAGGGTCCATTATCCGATAAGGAAGATAACCATGGTCTTCACTCTTTACAAAAAAAACAAAATGGACATAACTATTCTGATTCAAGTATGGAGAAGAAAAATACAGACAATATAAATAATACTGAAGGCAAAAGGTTTACTAGGTAATGTGAATAGATAATGAATTGATGTATAAGATTTGGTGTTGAACTCTATTGCTAGACACAATTTAATGTAACATTCTTTAAATGAAAGAAACACAAACAAGTATTCTTGACCCTATAGTGTTAAAAACTCCCCCACCCCCAATATAGCAAAATCTTACCTTTTTTTCCAGTCTGCCTATTCTGGCTCTGCCCTGGTCTGTCTGCTTGGCTGACATAATCAGAAGTGGTGTTTTGAGCCAATCACGATGCTTTCACATTTGATTGGCTGAGCTTGTGAAGGGGGCAGAGCTAGCACAAGCCAAACACAGCCCTGACCAATCAGCATCTCCTAACAGAAATGCATTGAATCAATGCCTCTCTATAAGGAAAGTTTGTCTCCAGGGAAAAAGGGTGGAGACACTGAAAGTCACTGCCCCAGGAAGCACCTCTAGTAGCCATCTGAGTAGTGTCCAGTGGAGGGAGGTATCCCTAGGCGGTAATGTAAATACTGCATTTTCTCTGAAAAGACAGTGTTTACTGCAAAAAGGCTGAAGGGAATAATTATACTAACCAGAACAAATACAATAAGCGGCAGTTGTTCTGGTGACTTTATAGTGTCCCTTTTATGTAAAAGTAAATCAGAAAAACAAATGTTTGAGCTTTACCCAAGCAACAAACTCTTTTCTTTTTCAAAATTCCAGTACACAAAGCCCTAAACTCACCCATACTTGCCTAAAAATCACCCTTTCTTCAACTCATCAGCAGAGCAATCTGAAGAAACAAAAAGGCTATTTAAAGTTTTTAAACTGTGGCATTACTTCTGTGTGAAGACATGGTTTGCTACTTTACAAAACACTACTATTCAAAGTGATAATTTCATTCTGTGATTGGGTATCGGATAGTCAAATGTCATGAGGCAATTGATCTGGCAGATACCAGTGTTCAGTAATTTTAAAATTTTATTTGAGAACCAAGAGTCTAGAATTTGTCAAGTCCGATGTTTATCTAAATCTTGAGAAATTCGTTCAGTTCGTACAGTGAATATGTGCAACTATATTTTGGTTGTTTGCTTTATGTATGACTTTATATTTATTTTTTTTTTCTTTCATGTGTTTAGGAGACTGGCTAAACTTCAAGCTGACACCAGTATGAATGGGGAGTGCAAAGAAGGTACAGAATTTTATGCAAAGTGGTCACTATGCATTTACTTTTCGTGTATTCTATATTTTATAATTTTTGTGAATGTATAAATCTGCTTCTTTATATAATGTATACCAACATAGTTGTGTGTTTTTTGCTTCGGTTTAAGAACTAAAACTTTAAAATCAAACCTTAAATCTTAAGTTGCTTATTCTGAATGCTTAAACATGAATATGTATTTTGTCCCTTCCTGTATCCCAACTAAATAACTGACCACTTTTTTAAAGTATCATAAAATTGTCACATTTTCACAGAAGTTTATCCACTCTGCTGTATATTTCATGACTTTTGTAATATAAAATTACTGATGCACAGGCACACAGTAGAATCTGTTCAACCCTTGGGTCGCAGGTTCGAATCCCAGCAGGGTTGACTTAGCCCTTCATCCTTCCGTGGTAGCTAAAACAAATACCAATAAATTGGGTAATAGTAACCCCTGGATGTTGGGCTAAGGTAACATCCCCAGGACGTACTTGAAAACCAGAGTAATCTGAATGTGCCTTTCATGGTTAAATACTTTATTTTTATTATTAGCCTGCCCAAGGCAAAATGATATAGAATAGCCTCCACAAAATGGGAGTTACAGCTTGGGATTGTATACCCTTTCTGCTTTGATTCAAAAGCTTATACTGGAGTGAGGGAATGAAGAACTGTCATCTCTTTTAAAGACTAATCACTTAATGGTATATCCTAAAACAACCTTCTTTTATTAAACTTATTTAACAAATGTAAGGTCCTATCCAGCTGAAAATGCAACATATTCAGGACACTTGAAACTACCACATTGTGTTTGGGGACCACATTGTGACTGTTAAGGACTTAATCCCAATCCTTTTCCCAGATGAACTAGTGGAAGACAAGCCAGTAAGGAGAACAAGAAGTGCCGACAAAGCCGCCTTGCATGAAGTTAATGGGGATGTTGAGGTTCGCCGAAGTGGCAGAATTAGAAGAAGTCGATACAGTACCACCAATCAATCTGTCTTGTTCGACAAATTAATAACAAAGTAGGTTTTATATATTCAGTTTTTTGTAAATATTTTACAGTGCTATAAAGTTTTTTTTACTGCAGTGAATTTGTTTTGCACATTATGAATCTAGTGATTTGTCTGTCCAGCTTTGGATGGTAATATAGTACTGGGAGCAGGGTAGCCCAGCATTCTTAGGATGTGATTGCAATCCAGGGTTGCATGGACTTTCACTGATAATATGCGGCTGCAACATTTGACCGCACAGTGGACATGTGAGCACCAGTTTCTGCAAAACCAGACAGAAAATAAGATAATGGTACATTTATACAATTAAACTACTTTCTGCAACTTTTTTTCCCCTAGCACCGCTGAAGCTGTTCTGCAAAAAATGGATCACATGAAAAAAATGCGTCGCCGCCGTTTGCGGGAACTTGATGATCTGGGTGTGTTCAATGACACAGAAGAGGTAATTCTGCACTAATGGAACCAATTTTTTTTTTTTTTCTTTTTTTTTTTCTGCGTTTGTAGGTTAATAAATTAAGATATAAATAATATTGTTTCCTCTATCTAATTTGGCATCCAGAAATGGGTGGCAAATGATATCCCACATTTACATACATACTCTATTGTGTGAAGCAGCTTGTTGGCTTAGGTGGATGCAATTGTAGGCTTTACTGTTATGCCTTAGCTATTTGATAATGATATTTGATCGAGGTAACAAAATAGTAATCGTAAAAAGTAATTTGCTTTCAACATTGCACATGAAGCAACACTAAAGAATACAAACATTTGTTCCTTGCTCTATATGGTTCTGCATAGGGAAGCATTGGACCTCCAGTGCATGTGTGTGGCATATTACTGCATCAATCAAATGCTCTCTAGTAGGATAATTTAAATGAGAACTGTGTTTGAGTCTGTTATTAGAGGAAGTGTCTCTGGCAGAAATAGAGCCCACTAAAAGTGTGCATAACCCTGGAAGGGAAATTTTTTTTTTTTTTCAAAATTGCAATGTTTCACTTCTTTGAGATAAAGTGGTCTGGGTGCTTCTAGTGGTCCTTTAATTCAGCATAAGTACTGTACATCACAGTGAAGTTCTTATACTTTAAGATTTTAAGACTTTACATAATGTTTCCATGGAGCTCTTGTACAAATTTTTATTTCCAAATGTCATTCCTTAAATTAATGTTCTCATAGGGGTGGGTCTATGACATTCTATAACTGCCACTTGCTGCACTTGTGTCAAGTGTATATGAATTGTATGTCAATATTAGCTTGATGTCTTGTATTTCTGAAACATGGCACCACAGGGTTGTGTGTATTTTTAAAAAAAAAAAATAATTAAAATTTTCTCTTTTTTTTTTTTCTTACTAGGAGAATGTGGACATGTATTCTCGGGTTAAACGAAAACGCAATGTTCCAACACTTGACGAGGAAACGGATAATCAAGAGGAGAGTGGAGGTAGCTCTTTAGTTTAGCTACAGAATTTGCTGATCCACCTCCTTTTCTCCCCAGCGTGAACTTGTTCATTAGATTACAACCAGCTGAACTAAGAGTTAAACAAAGGGACAGACCATCCAGTGGCCACTTATTACTGGGGGGAGGAGTTAGATTCAGGCTGTGTGCTCCAGCCATGTACAAAACCAAAGGCAGCCTTCACTTGTAGATGTGCTAGTAAAAAGACACTGTGCTTATGACGAATGCAAAAGTTGCACAAAATTGTCATAGCAGTCTTGTTCCATTCGAGCTGACTGCTTCTGCAGGTCGAGTATCTCTAGGTAGAGTTTGAAGCAGCAATGCTGGACGTACAGTCCCTGCAGTATAACCACTCCAGCAAGTAGATGTGGTTATGGTGCTTGGAGAGTAACCATGTTTAATTTACAGAATCCTCTGAAGAGGGAGAAGACCAAGAAGATGAGGATGGAGAGGAAGATAATCAAAAACGTTATGAGCTTCGGCAGAGGAAAGCGGTTGTGCCATATCAGGCGCCTTTATCAGGTATATGTCTGCATAGTTTATATTCAAGTAATTGTTTTGTTTTATTTTCCCTCTGAGTAGAAATATTGGTAAACTGATGCTTAATATATATTTTTTTCCCAGTAGATTTATATAAAACTCTGTACCTAATCTTAAGGAGAAGACAGGGTATATTTTAGATACGATTGTGCCTGGCTTCTTATTCTACAATGGTTTTTATACCCTTACTGGAATTGCTGTGAAACTTGCTTTTAAGAATTGTTTTCTGTTTCAAATGGAAAATAGACTACAAAAGTTTGTTACATGAAAACCTTTACATGTTCATCCATGCACATTTGCTGCTCTGACACTATATTTTTGCCTATCCTGTTTTTTTCCCCTGTGCATAAATTGGCTGCAATAATTTCTTTTCTGACCAAGTACAATGTATTTTCAACCAGAACCTAGACACCATAAAAAGCCCAGGATGTTTTACACAAGTGCAGGCTCTCCAGCAAGACGAAGATATCGCTTCGGTTCTGCAGGTCCTAGAAGTCCTTTCTGCAAACGGCGACTTAACAGGTTTGTAACTAACATTTTAAACGGCACATTTCCCCCATCCCTCCTCTCCTCCTTGGATCTCAAAACATTCAGTATATGCTCTGTTTAACTGAATTGGCATCTGTTGAAGATAGGTGTATTTCAGGTAACTGGATGGCAGGTTTTTTGTGGATGTTAGTGGGAGAACTGCTATTCCTTTGCCAGAATTAAGTTTCTGTTAAGAGTCAAGCTCTATATTGTGTTCACCTCAGAAGGACATACAATTGAATTAGTCTTTCCAGTTATATAACCTGCAGCCCTTAAATTTCTTTTTACAGCTAATGCATTAATCAACGTAGTGCTTTCAAATTTGCACACATATGCTTGCTTGTACATGTAAATAGTATCTCCTTGTGAAACCAAGTTAACTCAACAAAAGTATTTCCTTCTGGCTTTAAATTCACTCTCACTAATTTTGGCCTTGGTTCAATATTTTTGGATATGCTTTTCAAATGGTTTAAAACTGACGTGTGCAGAGCAAATTATAACTGGTGTTACCTGACCTTCTGTTAATGGGTTATTCATTTTTAGAAGGCGACATGCAATCCACAGCAGTGACTCTACATCCTCATCCTCATCGTCATCTGATGATGAACAACATTTTGAAAGACGTGTGAATCGGAGCCGCAACAAGGCAATCAGCAGGTATGTCACACAATATATATATTCTCAAGTCACTGACATCTCAGTCCTTGTAAGATGACAGTGAGTGAGGGTTCAGCATGCAAACTCCACTGCATTTAATTGTGCTGCTCATCTCCAACAGCTAGCTTTATCATTGGAGTTCCATGAAGTGTTTATTTTTTTTTATTTTTTTTGTGGTAAAAACCCATTGCATTGTTAAAATAGTTTGATAAGACTTGCAGTACAGTCAATGAGAACACCTCAGTGAAAAAAGGAACTTACAGTTTTCAGGTTTTTTCCAACATAACTTTGTTGCGTAATGCTTGTCAGCAACTGGGCTCAAACACTACCTTTTAGTGGTTGCTTTCTAGTATGTTTCAGCAATAAATAGACCTGTTGTTCATTTATGTAGTTTGTTAGTCATTCTTTCTTTGAGCATAATTGAATTTACAATTTTGAGGTTGGGAAACTGTTCGAATGTGATCTTTGTCAAATCACAAACTGCTGATAAAACCGTTCGGTGGCCATTTTTGTTTCCCAATTGATGATTTAAGTGTTTTCCAAAGGTTAACGGGAATGTTTATATATGTTCTTTTTTTTTGCTTTTGTCTAAGGTGCCTACCATTAAATATGCAGCGAGATGATCTCAAAGGTGTTCACAAAGAACGTATGAGAATTGGCGCAAGCTTGGCTGATGTAGATCCAATGCAGTTAGATACATCTGTAAGTTTGAAAAGCACAAATGTGGGTTACGACTTCTTGCTAAACAAAGCTGATGAGATATAAAAGTGGATGTATGTAATGATTAATCCCAGAACACTGTTATAAAGGTGCATTGCGTTGGTTTCCATGAGTATTGCTTCCATTCAATTACCACAAAATAGTTTTTGAAAAAGGGGTGGGGGTGCAAGCAGAATGTGCAATATACAGTGCTGTTGGAACTTTTAGGGTAAAACAATTGTGCATTTATTCCAATAATTAGTGAAAAATGTCATGGGTAGGATAATCTTATAAATGATTTCAGTGATGAACATTAAAGTGACTGTCAGATTCTGGAAGCTTTACATATTTTGCTTGAAGTGCGGTGACTGCAGGGAAAGGGGAGTTTAACTTGCCTACACCTGTCCCTCAAAACCACAGCTAGCTTTAGCCATTTATTTTCAGCTCCTGGTGCTTAATCCTCCTGGAGACCACATCAATGTTGTACTCTTGAACATGTGAGAGATTATAACACTGCGGTGTATGGAGGAGAACGCTGGAGCCTCCGTAGACAATGCCTTTTTTTTTTTTTTCTTACAGTAGTCTGTAGTGACGGCTGGAGGAAATGACAAAACGTGCCGGTGCTATCTACACCTTTTGTCAGGCATAGGCAATATACACAAGAGTCACACCTACTTTCTTTTAGTAAATCTTTTGTTAAAAACTCAGTAAAATTACACCGCTATCAATGTGAGTAATGAAGTATTTTTCACATAATTTCTCAAATCTAACCATATCAGTCCTATTTAAAGGTTTAATTATTTCAGTAGCAGTTTGATTTTCACACGGTTAAGGTCTCCTCAAATAAAGGGGGGGCTCAGAGGGTGTATTCCAGGTTCCTTAGCGCTATGTAAGCATCTTAACAATTTCTTTCCACTTTTCTTTAGGTGAGATTCAGTAGTATTGGAGGATTGTCTAGACATATTGCTTCTCTTAAAGAAATGGTGGTTTTCCCTTTACTCTACCCTGAAATCTTTGAGCGATTTAAAATACAACCTCCCAGGTATGAACTTATTTTTCTTTTGTGCTGGTGTTTTCAGTAAATAAGCTCATACAAATGTAAAGAACATGTTGTTATATTACTTTGCTATATTTAGGCTTTTTTTTTTTTGTATGTCCCCTTATACACCTATAATATAAATAAGTAATACACCCTAAAAGCGGTCACACATAAAATACTTGGCACAACAGGAGGAATACAGGTCTAGCAGAACGACCTATAAAAGATAAATGGGAAAATGCTCACTGTATATGTAAAACATACATAAAATCAAAAGGAATCAAAGTCCCAAAGGATAGCAGCTGACGCATTTTGACTCGGACGTCTTCCTCAATGCAGTCAGTTTGTAACTGAGAGCCAACACAGTCTAACCATCCTCTTCAGCTACTGCAAGATTGATGTGGCCTCCATAAGCAATTCATTTTTCCTCACAGCTATCCCTATTGATGACTGGGTGGGGTGGGGGGGAAGGCAAAAGCTGAAGGCAGTGGTCGCTCTATCCTTTTTTGTAAGGTGTAGGAAGAATGCATAAGACAGTTTTATCATTTTTTTTTTTTTTTTTTAAATAACATTTTTGGGTGGGGGTGACAGTTGCTTCCAGTGTCTTAGACCGCTTCAAGCAGTTAATTCAGCTCCCGCTACACCCGGAGGCCACTTGAGATGTCACCATCAGGTGTCTTTGCAAAATGTGAAGTGAGAGACCTGCCTTAAGAAATGCTTTCTGAGATAATCACCATACTGAAAGAAAAAACCGTGATCCAGTAAATTTAAATTTTTTTTGTGTGTGCTTGGTTATTGGAAAAAAAGCTAATTTTCATGTTGATATAAATCTTGGGTTATTAAAAGGCAGACACGAAGAGCGTTAAAAATGTTGCCACCAGTTAACTGAACTATAACGTATATACTCTCAGTAAACGGTGTGAAAATGCAGGTGGCTCACTTGACTGTAGAACTAAATAAAACACCCTGAAACCTACAGGACTGAGGCCCACTTGTATTTGTGCTCCAAATACATCTTAAATTACAGATTTACTACAGTATTTGTATCTCTATTACAGAGGCTGTCTATTCTATGGACCTCCTGGTACAGGTAAAACATTGGTGGCCAGGGCCTTGGCAAATGAGTGCAGCATTGGAGACAAAAGAGTGTCTTTCTTTATGAGAAAAGGTGCTGACTGCTTAAGTAAATGGGTTGGTGAATCAGAGAGACAGCTGAGGCTGCTATTTGATCAGGTAATTTTTATTTTATTTTTTAACCTTCATTGTAAACGGTATTCTAGTTTGTGGGGGTGGAGTTGTTTCTTGTCCTTTTTGACTTAACTTTTAATTTGCTTTTTTTCTAGGCATATCAGATGCGTCCTTCAATTATTTTCTTTGATGAAATTGATGGTTTGGCACCTGTTAGGTCAAGCAGACAAGATCAGATTCACAGGTAAAAAAATTGCTTTAGGATTTTCTTTTTAAAATTTAATTATTGTATATTTTTTTTCCTATAAATTTTACATTAATTGTTTAATAATGGATTGTCTATTTTGTTCAGCTCCATAGTTTCCACACTTCTGGCTCTAATGGATGGTTTGGATAGTCGAGGGGAGATTGTTGTGATTGGTGCAACAAACAGGCTTGATTCAATTGATCCTGCTTTAAGAAGGCCTGGGCGTTTTGACAGAGAATTCTTGTTCTCGTTACCTGATCGAGATGTAAGTATATCTTGCTTAAAAAAAGTGTTTTGATTCCCAAATGGGGAATTTTCTAAGTAAAAATAGTCTAACTGGAAACAAATTTCAGTTGTGCTTTAGTTCAGCTACTCTGGCCTTATATGTGAAATTCACTTTGAATTCTCACTTTACTGAATAATCTTGTAGTTATTGTTTTTATTAAGTTTACCATTCAGATTAGTTTCCTATGTGACACTTTCACTGAAGAAATATATATTTCTTCATATATATAATATATTGATTCATGAACATGGTCAAAGCCCATCCAGTTGAGGACATCAGAATAGATGGATACAGAGTTGTTGATCGATATAGATAGTATAGTTTTATTTCGTTATCTGGAATCAGATCTGCTTCAGTTATTTTAGAACATGCAGCCTATAACTGTAATTAATGATGCCACAATGAATGAACCTTTTTTTGAACAATCATTTGTTTTTGTGTCCCCAGGCAAGAATGGAGATTCTTAAAATACACACAAGAGAATGGAATCCAAAACCATCAGAAATCTTTTTAAAGGAACTGGCAGAAAAGTGTGTTGGTAAGCATATTCTTAACTCCAGCCACTCCTATGAATAAAGTACCGTTATTCTATTCACAATATGTATGAATACCTGTTAGCGTGAAGTGCAGCTGTTGGTTCTTTATAAAATTGGTATATTAAATCAATAACTGCATGGCCATTTCATACCTCTTTGGCAATTACTAGGCTTTTGCACTCCGAGCACCAATATGTGTTTTTTATTTGTCTTCCAGCAGATCATGCACATTTAGAAAATAATGTTAGACTGCTAAAAGTCCAAATATTTAAAGTGGCTTACAATATCAAGTACAGTTTTCTATAGTGTGTGTGGGAGTCATTATTTAAATTTTGATGCTTTCACATTTTGATATTTTTAGCATCCCTAAAAAAAGCAAAACTCTTGTGGTTCTGTTCCAAAGTTTTTCATTAAAAAACCAAACAGGACAAATGTTTTATTTTGTTACTTTGCACAATCTTGTAATTTAAATGCAAGTAAATAAAATATCTAAAAACTTAGCTATTGCACATATTTTAAGCGAAATAAAATAGTTTTCAGTGGGTGATGGAAGGTGCTGTGTGTGTGTGTGTGTGTATATATATATGTATATATATTCCAACCCTTATCCAAACTATATAGTTAAAAGGAAAAAATATATAAAACAGAAAATTATTGCACCAATAATAATTCTATACAGACATCAGAACAAGAGTGGGAATGCTTTCAAGTCAGGGGTCTCCTGCTCATATCGGTATTTTGAAAGTCAACAGTGCAATTTTCCTACCCATCATTTTGTTACCTATGCAAATGGTATTATCAGGTACACAACTGTCTTGAAATAACATAAACATGACTGTAATTATAAAAGAGAAGGTTGTGACAGGAGTGTGAAATCCCACACTGGAAAGAGTGGTAACCCTTCCTTTCATTCATATATGATTGAGGCTCTAAATAATACACCCTAGATTTTAAGTGGTCATCATTAACTTGGTGATTTACTTGTAAATTTGAGGGACATAGGACCCACATTAAAAAGGAAAGTCTTTAAAGATAAACAGAGGAGGAAATTAGGGCTCTTGAAGATACATTTTCATAACCATTGTCACAGTTTTCCTGCCATTGTGATGTTAGTGGCAGTCTTTGTTAGCAGCAGTGCTTTGTTTATTTTGAGCATGTTTCCATTTATAGCATGGGGCCTGCTTAAAAGTTAAAAAAAAAACATTTGAAATCAATCCATAAACAAACTAGCATGTGTGTTTAATAGGTTGTAATGCACATATATTGTATGATACAGGTCTTGCGTTTTATTTTATCTGTTACAGGGTACTGTGGGGCAGATATAAAGTCTGTGTGCGCCGAAGCTGCTCTCTGTGCTCTCCGTCGTCGCTATCCCCAAATCTATGCAACAACTGAAAAACTACAGCTGGATGTGACTTCCATTAAAATTACTGCTAGAGACTTTATTGTAGCTATGCAAAAGATTGTCCCAGCATCACAGAGAGCTGTGGTCTCCCCTGGGCAAGCTCTTTCACCAATAATCCAACCCCTTCTCCAGAACACACTTCAAAACATTCTGGAAGATCTAAAGAGGGTTTTCCCGCATGCTGACATGGGATTCAAGAAAAGCAATGAATCTGGTATATATTCTATATTTTATATCCTATCTTTAACTATGACTAGTAAATAGCCAGTATTAATCTGTTGGCTGCTTAAGAGTAGTTGAATATAAACCCAGAACTGTCTACTGCTCTCAGATTCAGATTTTTGTCTTACTAGTGAATTGTTTGAATTTAGATTTTTCCAGTCAACTGTTGGAGGATGAGTTGATGTATAGTGATGATGAGGGGCCATCTGTGTTTGAAAATGGTCTGCTTCAAAAATTACCCAACAAGCAGAAAGACGGCCACACCTTTCTTCAGCTGAATATGTAAGTACAAATCGAAACTGTATGTTTATTTGGGTTAGTACTTCAGATACTAAGGGCTAAATGTTACTCGTTGCTTTCATTAATTGATTAAATATCATTAATTGTATATAATATCCAGTTATTTGAGTACCAGCATTACATTTCTAAATTGGACAGTTTTTGTTTGCTAAAATTAACTTTGACTGCATCTCTGCTCGACCTTGTAACATCTGCAGTTAATGGGTTACATGTCTTGAAACAACTGAAACAGAGGTTGCACGTAAGCAAAATGTAGAACATTATGATTAAATTGCAAATGTCAGTTGAAATTGCTAGCTCAAAATCGTTTTTTAGAAACATGGTACTGTATGGAAAACAAATGTATTGATTTACAGTATGTTTTTTGATGGTTTACAAAAACACTATGTGCTGGCACTCAATTATGCAAGGTGCAGGTATTCGAGGTTTAACCCCACAACAACCTCCTAATCTAAATCAAAAACAAATGTTTTTGCTCCGGAGAGGAACAGGGGCCATCGAAGGGACAGGAACGTCCCGAGCGCGCAGCCCATTTCAGCCCGTTTCTAGGATTGCCTACTTCCATGGATCATTGAATGACCTGTCATACTGACCAGATTCTGCTAAATGATTGTCTTTCCACCAAAACTACAAGCATTTTCACCCTCATCCATTATACACCATCTACAGACTACATCATCCTCCTACTGAGCATACCTTAAAGCTATCTTCTACATTGGTGAGATCTATCCATAGACTTATGAAGCATATAGTGCACTATATTTTGGACTATTAGACAACAGGACTGTATGATATATAATTTTTTTCACTTTTTTCTCCTTTTTTTCTTTTTTCTCTTTTCTTTTCAATTTTTTTTATTTTTTACTATTTTTTTTATTACTATTTTTTTTGAATTTTTTTTGGGATCATCTTCTTCATTCATTTTTTTGGATCATTACCCATTGTAAATAGATACATAACTCATGAAATTTAACATAGGGAGGATTTGGTGTGTGTATATATGTAAATATTCTATGTACATAGGATTGAAATGTATTCTACTATGATTGAACTTATGAATTATAATTGTAATAAATAGCTTTGCAATTAAATATAAGATTATACTTTACTGGAATTGTTTTGAGTGCGGTATTCATATTTGTTTTTGTTTTTGATGGTTTATTCAGTATTGAAAAATTTTAGATTTTGCATGTATTTAAATGCAATTTATAGTATTTTTTTTTATTTATTTTGCAGGAATGCAAACCGACAACCAACCTCTTTTAGACCTAGACTCCTGATTGCTGGGAAACCTGGGCTTGGTCAAGGATCACATTTAGCTCCAGCAGTTATCCATGCATTAGAAAAGCTTACAGTCTACACATTGGACCTGGCTGTTCTTTTTGGTGTTAGCGTAACATCCCCTGAAGAAACATGCGCACAGGTAAGATGCTATATAGAATTTTTCTGTTTTTGTTTTTTTTCTTTTTAAATATAATTGTAATGGTTTGGCTTTTTTTTTTTTTTTTTTTCAGCTCTTTCGTGAAGCTAAAAGAACATCACCAAGCATTTTGTATATTCCACACATTCATTTGTGGTGGGAGACAGTTGGCTACACTTTGAAGGCAACCTTTATCACTTTGCTTCAAAATATTCCATCATTCTCTCCAATCCTCCTCCTAGCCACATGTGATGTGAATTATTGTGATTTGCCACCTGAGGTATAGTATTATGAACCAGCCTTCACACTTATCTTGCAAAACTTATAAATAAAGCACTGTTTACTGTGTGATCTATTACATTTATTTACTTGCCAGTTATGTTGGGATATTTTCTTCTTTCTAGTCCTATTTCAGAATGTTTAACCGGTGTGTTTTTTTTTTTTTTTGGTCAATCTTTCTTTTATTGTGGCATTTAAAGCATGGTGTACAGAAGAGAGAAAGGAGTTGTTGCAAGATAATACAAAGTACAGTATTTTCTGGCGTATAAGATGACTTTTTAACCCTAGAAAATCTTCTCCAAAGTCGGGGGTCGTCTTATACGCCAGGTATAGGGTCTATATAGCTGCCGGGGGCGCCCTCATCGCCGGCCCTTCTAATGCTGCAGCCGCCTGAGCGCTCTATAGAGCGCTCAGATGGCTGCCGCACTGCCTCTCTTCTCACCTCCCCTTCCCTGTGCAGAGTGGGTGGCCGAGCTCCTCTTCGTCCTGTCAGTCCGGTGCTCACTTCCTTTCAGTCCGGCCAGGAACAGGTTAACTGAAACTCCTGTACCGCGCGGTACCCGGCCGGACTGACAGGACGAAGAAGCTCGGCCACTCACTCTGCACAAGGAAGGGGAGGTGAGAAGAACGTAAGGAGGATTGGGGGGGGGAGTAAAAAGAATGGAGGGGGGGAGTAAAAAGAATATATCGCAATTAGCCTCCTGTGTGCTAGACCAGCAGGCATGGATTATATGCCCAAACAGCCTGGCACATACCTGGGCTTTAAATGCTATTTCAGATTATCATTATTTAATGTCTTGCTGTGTAGCTCTGTCTGCTCACTGTACATCATGGCTAATTTTTATTTGGTGTGCATTGGAAGAGGGGTAGTCTTATACGGCGAGTATATCCCAAACTCTATATTTTAACTGGAAAAGTTGGGGGTCGTCTTATACGCCCAGTCGATTTATACGCCGGAAAATACGGTATATGATTTCAGTGTGCTTTGCAGACACTCCTAAGAAAGACTGCCATTTTTTTAATAATTAAACATTATCATACAGTCTAGGTTCAACTGTAGCGTAAGAGTATTGACAGATTACTTAAGTTGCACTTGTTTGAACCTTACAACTATTTACATGCTAGCTAGATCATTGCAACATTCGCTCATGTGGTAGTTATGTGCTTGTACGTTAAGCTTATCTCGGCTGGTCTAGCAGTGTAGTGTCTGAGGTCGGGAGCCAATGTTCAGCCGATGCTCCTGCTGGGTAAGGCGGCCCCCCCATTCAAGATAGTCCACAGCGGGCATTTGGCGGTTATCTGCCGGCCCAATGTCATTGTGAGAATCTTGGGAGGTGTGCTCTTGTGGCTCTCTGTTCCAGTGAGTTAGGTTTTGCTGCTTTTTGGCGTGCCTCCACCTCTGCCCAGAAGCGGTTAAAGACTTCATCCAGCTTCCTTAGTGATTTGTGTCTGGCTCAGAAGTTCTGGCTTGGAGTGCTGGGAGTTTTTGTCGAAATGAAGTTCGCTTGGTGTCAGGTACAGGGCTTTGTTGCACGCTTGGGAGGGCACTAGGTCGCGCAGAGCGGGGGATTGGCCATCTCACTCCTGTCGGACACTCCGTGCACCCGCGGGCTGCAGACTTGAGGCACCTCGGCTGGCTTCTGGGGTAAGTCTATTTAGGTTTCTGTGGATCTTGGCTGGCTCGAGTACTCTTATTTCAGTCGATTAGCAGGTCGAGCTCGGAGCTTACACAATGCATGTCCAGCCGCCATGAAGCTCAGGCCCTGCCCCCCGGTGTGGGGTTTTTTTTTCCCCTCTGGTCAGTCAGATATTTAGAATTGTCAATTTGCCTTCCTCATGTCTGATTTTTTTTTTTTTTTTTTTTTAGCTTCAAGAACTATTTTCGGATGATTATGGCGAAGTGTTTCACGTTCAGTTGCCAGACAAAGCGACAAGAAGAGCATTCTTTGAGGATCTTATTTTGAACCAGGCAGCTAAACCTCCAGCTTCTATAAAGAAAGCAGGTTAGTAAAGTAGGGTTGCATCTGTCTTAAAACACATACCAAAACTAGTAAAGGCTTCTCAAATTCTATGTCCATGTTCCTTATGTCTAGTTGTACAAGCCCTTGAGGTTTTACCGGTTGCCCCTGCTCCTGAGCCCCGTCCTCTGACTGCTGAAGAGCTGAAACGATTGGAGGAACAGGAGGAAGACACCCTTCGTGAACTGAGACTCTTCTTGAGGGATGTTGCACACAGACTTGCTATTGACAAGCGCTTCAGAGCATTTACAAAGCCTGTGGACCGTGAAGAGGTAATTTGTTGCATTTAAAAAAATTCAAGTATTAAAATACTAGAAGAATAAAACATGTATTGTTTACATTAAGTGATGGTGAATCATGGCAAGATATGAAAAACACACAATTAACCAATTCTATAAAATTAGAGGCAATCTAGGAACAAGAACCCACTGCAGCTTAATTCTGGGGCAAAGAGGCTGTCTCTGCTGTCTCTGCAGTGCAATTGCTGCCATTTAGAAGAAAATGCAGTAGTTACTCGCTCTAGTTGCTGTCACTCTGTCAGCTATTAGAGCGTTTCCCTGAATGATCTTCTAATATCGCAAGACCGATGTTTGGCATTTCCACGCTGTGCATAGAGATGCTGAATGCTCCCTGTAAAGATGCATTGAGCGAATGCGTCTCAGAAAATGCTGGTTGCTGTGGTGATTGTGAAACATGCGCATTAGCCTCCAATGCTGCGTTGTTGGGAAGAATTGGTTTCACTGATATCGTTCGTGTTCTCAGTCAGCAAGAGAGAGGCGGTCATGAAAGACCTGCATGCCAGGGGATATAAAATGAGTAAATAGATTTATTTTGCTCCCATAATGCAATTAATGTAGTTAATTAGTATAACACTCTAGTGTTTGTATTCCTAACTGTGACGAAGTGCCCTTCGCCACTTGGTCCTGGAGAGGCCTACTTGCCAGCCTCCTCCCCTGTGACTATGACTCTTTCATGTATCTGGCTTTAAAGCCCCTAGTCTACCTTCAGACAGACTATTTATGTAGGTTGCTTTGTTTCTCTTATGTTTTAGTCACCTTGTACCCATTATAGGTGCAGGGTGTGTGTAATGTAATTGTTTATAGTGTGTGTGTGTACTGTGTAATGTATTGCCTGCTCTCTTGTATTGCTGAAGTTTGCTACCAACTAGGTGGGTTTGGCTATGGAGCTTGTCTAGTGCCCTCTGTTGGTAGCAACAGCAATATGCACTACCTGAATTGCAAGACTGGTTTATTTGCATATTCGGGTAGATTTGCATATTGCTAATTCTGCAGGCAGGTGAGATATTTAATGTTAAATATTGTCTCCCCCCACCCCTTTAAAAATGTGCCATTGTGTTGTGATAAGTCACTGTGTGTTTCTTGATATGGTTTGACTGTTTGTGATTTTATTGAGGTTTCACAACAATGTTATTGTGGTGACTGTATTGGCTGGTCCCAAGGGAATAAAGGTTTTGACAGTTCTTCTTGATCCCTCTAAACGTAGCCTTGTCTCGTTATTGGAGGGAGCTGTTATAATCACACTGGGGATTGCTATGCTCTGCATGCTCCCCTGAGCTTGAGTCACTTAGCTCTTTTAAGAGCTTGTTCCTGTTACGCTCTCCTGGAGGAGAGGTCTTCCCCACACGGTCCTTGAGGACAGAAGCTGATCCAGGGTGGAAGGAAGACGGCGAGACTCCAGTTAAGCTACGGCGGTTGTGGAGTCTCTCGTGGTTGTGGTGGTTAAGCTACGGCGGTTGTGGAGTCTCTCGTGGTTGTGGTGTCGGCTGCAGTGTTTGGAGTCCTCAGGAAGCGCTAGGAGCATCCATCAACGGAGGGTACTCGGTCGGAGTACAGGGAGCTCCGTTACACTAACGTTTGTGTTCATTTACTTAAGGTGTAATGTAAACTGTAAGAAACTAAAATAAGCCTTGGGAACAGACTTGAGTGTAGTTAATTGATTGACTTGGAGATAAAATATATTTAATTTATCTATTTTTGAGTATATATTGAGAACTTACCGTTACACTTTTTTTTAAATAGGTTCCTGATTATGAAACAGTTATCGCACAACCAATGGATCTCTCCACAATTATAAGCAAAATTGATTTGCACAAATATAATACTGTGAAAGAATACTTAAAAGATGTCGACCTTATATGTAGCAATGCACTGGAATATAATCCAGATAAGGATCCTAGCGGTAAGTATCTCCAAAACATGGGGCGTATTCTGGAAATTGTACTGCTTTAAGTATTTTATTGTATTTGGTCATGAGTGTACACCGAACCTTTTAGGTTAATATTTGAGGTGAGGGGCGGGTTTATATATTAGGTGTGTATTCTTGCTACGACTGAGGTGGGTTTGCCAGGGGAAGCCCTTTATAGGGTAATGGGAAGGGACTTTTCTTAATCACCTATCTTGCAGATGCTTGTCACAATTAGGAAGCACAACCCATACGTGCTGCCACCATATTAAGAAAAAATATAATTTACATCGAGTAAAAATTTCTGTTTTTGTAAATATCAGAGGTAGAGTAATGTTTTTGTCTGTTTTCAGATCGTTTAATTCGCCACAGGGCTTGTACTCTCAAAGATACAACATATGCAATTATAAAAGAAGAGCTGGATGAAGAGTTTGAGAAGCTGTGTGAAGAAATTCAGGAATCTCGCAAGAAGAGAGGTATGTTCTTTTACATGTAGAATTTGTGCTTTGTTTAAAGGAACACTATAGTCACCTAAATTACTTTAGCTAAACAAAGCAATTTTAGTGTATAGATCATTCCCCTGCAATTTCACTGCTCAATTCACTGCCATTTAGGAGTTAAATCACTTTTGTTTCTGTTTATGCAGCTCTAGCCACACCTCCCCTGACTATGATTGACAGAGCCTGCATGGAAAAAAAAAACTGGTTTCACTTTCAAACAGATGTAATTTACCTTAAATAATTGTATCTCAATCTCTAAATTGAACTTTAATCACATACAGGAGGCTCTTGCAGGGTCTAGCAAGCTATTAACATAGCAGGGGATAAGAAAATCTTAATTAAACAGAACAGAACTTGCAATAAAGAAAGCATAAATAGGGCTCTCTGTAAAGGAAGTGTTTATGGAAGGCTGTGCAAGTCACATGCAGGGAGGTGTGACTAGGGTTCATAAACAAAGGGATTTAACTCCTAAATGGCAGAGGATTGAGCAGTGAGGCTGCAGGGGCATGTTCTATACACTAAAACTGCTTCATTAAGCTAAAGTTGTTCAGGTGACTATAGTGTCCCTTTAATAAAACAAAAGGAATTTTTATTTTTATTTTTCTTTATGGTACAATATGCAAAAATGTTCTAATGGACCCTTATAATGAAACCGTTTGGGTTTGTTTTAGTGTTATGTTTTTTCTTGTCCTTCATTTCTGTGTGCAACAACCATTTCATAAGAAGTTTCTTGGTTTTATTTAACCTTATGAATATTTGGAATACTTAGTGACCAGTAATCTAAATTGTATGTAAATATATATACAGGTATTTGACATATAGTCTCTCTCTTAAGGTGTTTTGGCTTCAAAGTACGCTCCATCTTATTATCATGTGCTCCCAAAGCAAAACAATGCTCAAGATGGGAAGAAAACTGAAATGCATCAATCTGAGAGACCCGAGGTGTTTCCAGTGGCAGCGAGTACACCAAGCGCAGGTATGTAGCCATAATACGGAAATTAGAAGAACCCATGTTCCAAAATTTTTATTTTATTTTTTTGAGTAAAATCACCATTTCATTCACTGGAAAAGCAATTTGTGTAATTACCGGTATGATTAGCATTTCAATTTCTGCTTGGTGGAGATCTGCCTTTGCTTTTAAGTAATCCCTACTGGTTGACCAGTAGAGTGTGGAGCACCAGACTTTGGAACTTCTTTTGTTTGCTATGTTTTTCCATTAAGACTGGGTGGGTGGGGTACCACAGTATAGTGGACCAAATATGTTTAAGAAAGCCACAATAGAATAGATATAGGATATCCTCTAGAGTTTAGACTGTAAGATTGTTGGAGTTGGGTCCTCCTCTACCTATTGTTCCTGTAACATTTTGTAATTATCTCATTTATTGTTAAATTTCCTCCTTTTGTAATATTATAAAGTACTGCAGAATAAATACTTGATTTGATAAGTTGCTATATAAATACCAATAATATATGGAGACACTTGTATTTTAGAATTAATTTGCTTGAGGGAACAAGGGGCAGCTTTGTAATGTCTGGTTGTGCTGTATCACGATTAACCCCTTAAGGACACATGACATGTCATGATTCCCTTTTATTGCAGACGTTTGGTCCTTAAGGGGTTAAATTATTTTCAGATTAGGGTAGTTTAGTGTGGGGTTTTTGTTGTTGAGGCTTGTGTAAGCATGTTCCTTTTGGATCAGTGTACATTATTTTTCTGTGTTCCCTCTATATGGCACTGCAGAATATGCTAGCACTATATAAACACAAAGTAATAATCTTGTTCTCAACAGGTGTATGACATTTGTTACATGGCAGATACATATGAAGAGTGTAACAAGACATTTAATCATCCAGCCTATTTGCTTAAAGGATAGCAGTCTTGCTTATGTACACTCACTTGAAATTAATTCCTAATGCAATTTAACTATACATCGTTCTAACGAAATCTACATAGGTACATGTTGCTCAATAATTTTTTTTAAATCGCTCCGTCGTCTGTCCGCTAGAAAGTTAGCCCACTCTGCTTCATTATATTGAAGCAAGCATGCCCTTTTTCAATGACTTGGCAATGTAGGGGTTATAACAAAAAAAAAAAAAAATTATTGTCCCCTCTTGATAATCTTCAAGGAAGGGTGAAAAGTTCCCTGGTAGTCCAGTATCAGTCCTGGCTGGTGCATACCCTGTGTAGGTAGACGATGTACAGCTCCCTGCTATGTATCCGCGCCTTGTCACAGGCTACCACAGCAACATTTTAATGCATTGCAGGAAGTGATACACCATTGACTGCCTTAACAGGATTCCATGCTCCGAATTTATAGCCTTCAAGAGTTCCTCAACAAGCTAATGTTTTATTTAAAATAGTTAATCTACATTTGGTAACCAGAAATGGTACCTCACACTAATACAGTCCTCTTCTCCCTCCCCACCCGCTTTATTTTCTTTTTTTGAAAATGAAATTAATCAGTTGGATAAATTCATATTGATAATTCTCTCCCCACTTATAGCCAACACAAAGAAAAAAATTAGGAGGAAAAACCGTTGGAAGACTGGTAACCTAGCTAAGAAAAAGAAATTGACACAAGCCTCAAAGGATGAAACGGTTGATGAAGGTGAAAGTGATGCTAACCATGAGAATCCTGACTTCAGTTTAGACAATACAGAAACTGAACTTCTCGATGAATCCTCTATGGAAGCAGAAAATCTCAATTCTACTGCAGACAGCTCTCTCGCTGCTAAAGATAGCTCAGCAAAAGAAATGTCAAGATCACCAAATACTGAGCCCATAGTCTCTGAAGTCCATTGTTCTCCTACAAAAGAAAATGGTGATCACAGCGAGCCTAGTGGTATGTACCTAAATGTTTCTAATTAGAAATGCTTTTATTTATCAATTGAATGTAAGGGTACAGATTTATTCATTTTTGTTATCAAACCATTCAGCAGTTGTGCTTTCGAGTATTGAATGCCCTCATTAAATACGGACAGTGTTAAAGGTACACTCTAAGCACCAAAACTATTTTAGCTTTATGAAACCGTTTTAGTGCATAGATAATCACCCACAGCCACACTGCTCAATTCTCTGCCATTTAGGAGTTAATTTATAATTCTTTTTGTTTACACCTCCCCTGGCTGTGACTCTCAACATACATTTTTATTTATTTTTTAATTTAAATTTCAGGAAGTGTGTAGGGAGGCTGTATGACCCCCCAGCTAGGGGTGCATAAACAAAGTGATTCCAATTCTAAATTGCAGAGAATCAAGCAATGAGACGTCAAAGGCATGATCTGTACACCAAAACTGCTTCATTAAGCTGATGGTGTTTTTGGTGACTAGTGTGCTTATAAATTTAGAATAAATCTTATTTTATCATTTATTTTTTTCCATTTAGGTTTTTGTGTTAGACGCATGACTCGTGGCAGGCAAATGCAAGTAGAACAGCAGCACTTAATAAATGTGGACAAAGCCATGGACATTCTATCACAACCAACTCCCACATTTTATGTGGATGAGTCCAAACTTCAGGTGAGGTTTTTAATAAAAATGCAAGTTGAAAAATTCCCCTATTGACATCTTATCTACTGTGTTGAACTGAATTTGGCACTGCTGTTACATAGTCACAAGGATAACCTTGTTATTGCAGAGGTTTGTGAACTGAACCAACCAAATTTTGCCTTTGCACTGCATATTGATTCACCAAAACAGTTATTTTGTGGGTTTTTAAATGTGTTCTAAAATATTTGCTGATCTTTATGATGCACTTTACAAACACCATACAAATGTAAATATGTTGCATTCATTATGGTACAAAAAGGCCTCCTGTCACGGTCTATTAACACTTGCTTATATTTGCAGTGATTTAAAAAATTAAATTAGCCTTTTAACCTTTCATCCAGGATTGAAGCTGTACTTTTCTTCCACACATGCAAAATATTTGTCCAGCCTCAGTTCCTGAGTCTCTATTTGGAGACTGTTCCTCTTGTGCACTCATGTCTGTTTTTTATATAGCTCATTAAACAATAGGGAATGACTTTAAGTGTCCCTTTAACCATTGCTTTTGCAATTTTCTTAGTACTTAATTCCTCTTGTTAACATTTTCAGAAACTTTTGTATAAAGTTGTACAGAAAACGAATGGATATAATGTCTTCCATCTGGAAAAACTGTATGCCTTAATCAGCCAGTGCATTTACCGGCATCGCAAAGACTATGACAAAACCCAGTTACTAAAGGTAATTCTATATATATTAAGTTTAACCTTCTTTTATTTATAGTCATTGCCTAAATTTTCAATAATTGTCAATAACTGCCCAATTTTACCAGAAATGTATTCGACACAGAAATTTGGATATATATATGTTTTGGCATTTTACAGATAGGTTATTCAATTTGATTTTATGCAAACCTTTTTTTTTTTTTCAATATTCTACAGGTGGGTTCTACTATTTTCCTTTATTCAATACATTTTCTGAGTTGTTAAAATAGACTTTCTCTGTGCGATGGGGGCTATGTAGATTGTGCATGTCGAATAAAATGTTAATGGATTTGTAGTAATTTATATCCTGCCCAGAGTCAAATTTTGTTCTGCAGCCATATCTTTACGGATCTTTTAGTGTGCTGCAGGTATTTCACAAGCCTGGTAGTTTCCATGTGGTGAGAGTTCTTAGGTTGAATACAGAAGACTATATAGCTTCTTTCTAAACAAGCCCTGCAGCTATTAAGTACATGGTGTCAAATGATCACTTGACAGTTGTATTATAAAGTATAGAATATATTTGGATGACAGATTTGTTTTAAATTGGCACTGTGCAGCTCATTGTAGTAGCTGTGGTGCAAAGAATCTTTGGCACTGCCCTAGTTTGTGTCACTCATTTTGAACAATGTGGCAGAAACGAGTCACACAAGAACTCATCCAAGTTGGTCAAGCTGATGTACAATTTAACTTCCGCATTAGCCAAACCACAGGGAGCACTACCTTTTTTGTGAAACCACTTTAGTCTTTGCCCCATAAATACTACAATGAAATAAAACGGGGTATATTTTATTTTTTTAGTATGAAACTAGTAAACTGTAAAATTAAATGGTGTAATGTTCATTGACAGGTTGTAATTCTCTTGTCCATAAAACTGATGCGTTTTATTTTTTGTCTTGTTTCAGGAAATGGAAGATGAAATTGAAAACTTCAGAATTTGAAATTGATGGACTTGTATTTGGTTTTCATAAATTGTCTTAAGAGTGCTTTTAAATAATATATCTAAATCCTTACATGTACATACTTACTATGACAAGGATTATTGAACTCTGCAAAGGTTTTCCTATAACAAATAGCTATTTGTACATTTAATACATGTAATGCTGTGTTCCGTAATTCAGCGTTGTTCATAATTAATCCAGAAATTGTTGTAGATATTTTAAAATGCACCTATTAAGAAGACCTGGTGCCATATTTTATGGAATAACATTTTTTTATCCTGTGCTAGATGATTTAGTATCAAGCATAGGGACTTATTCACTAAACATCATATTGTGCATTGAAATCAAATGGCAAACATCCTGGCTGAAATAGCTGATTTGGAAAAATTATTGAACAGTTACTCAAATGTTACAACTCTGTTTTCAGTTGCAACTGAAAAGTGAGTAAATTAAATGTAAAGCCTAATTCTTTTTTCTGTTAACTAAACCCTTTTCCATTTTGTATCACAATGTCTGCGGAGTCGTGAAATGTGAAAGATATTGTATAGGTGCATGTCTAGCTGTTCCCAAAGACAGCATGTAGCATCCCACAATAGATTAAAGGGACATTGTAGGCACTGCAACTGCATCATCTGACTGACTTTGTTATACGGTCTGGAGTCCTCTGGCACTATTACCAATTCAGTGAGATAAAATGGCTATAGTGCTTAGTGACCCTTTCGGCATTGTAGGATCCTCTGTGCTGTAGCTGGACAGAGATTTGAATCAGATATCTTAAATTGGAAAAAACAATTCCTTTTCACATAAAGGTAAACTGGAATAGCAATTGGTTTATGGTTGAACTCAGGAAAGTTTAATTCAGAGGATAATTATCACAACATGGTGTTATTTCCTATATATGGCACAAGACCTGCCCCCTCCCCCCATCTTCTTTTTGCCGGGCTTGTGGACTTTATACATTTTTACTGAGGATTTTGCGAGCACACTGTATGGATTACACGTGTCGTAACTACTTATAAGTGAACTCATCATTCAAACCTTGTGAATGAGTCGTTCATTTAAAAGTTGTTTTGCTTCCATGTTTTTATTGCTTTTGAGAATTATTGGAAAGCAGCGGTGTTTACATTGTTCTGTTACATGTGTGCATTAAAATCTGCATGATCTCAGTGTATGTGGCTACAGTAGACTGTGCTTATATTGTAATTACAGCAATTGATGTACAGATGTTAAAATAAAATAAACTTTACAAGTCTTTCATGATATTGAATATATCAATATTTGATGTAATTGGGCTAGACACTAATGAAAGAGTACTACACATGGATGTTCTGAATCAGATCCTCCTATCCACTTTGTTGTTACAGATTTTATGTAATCTTCCATATGAACTTGTTATATTTTTTCTTAGAATAAAGATAAATATATTTAGTCACTTAAACCTATATTCTGACATTTGGGCAGCTATTGGGTAGTTGTGTGATTATCTGAGTGTCCTACTGGTCTTCTGTGGAGTAATTTTTGCTATAAACCAGGGGTGCTCAAAAAGGTCCCTAGATGTTGTAGAACTACAACTCCCATGATGTTTTGCATGCCTTTAGAATGATAAAGCATTATGAAAGCTGTAGTTTTAAACCATCTGGAGATCTACCTTTTGGGCTCTCTTTGGGGCTAGTAGTGTAAGTCACCAATTTACTGTAGTTTGCATGGTTATCTTGTGTAAAATGTAGTTAACATCTCAGCGACTACATAGTTTGGATTAACCACTGTTTGGGTATTTCTATATTGTGCTGATCCAAAAATGTAATTTCACCATAGTGATTTTGCATTTCTCCTTTATCAAGTGACTTGGTTTTAATTTGGGCCTTACAATCAATCAATCTAAAAGACTGGATGCTGAAATTAGGCCATTTTATTTCTTGAGGTGAAAATGACTGAAGTCTTTCTGAACCTGTGACCCTTGTGCTTTTGAACAAGCTCAGTAGTTAGAGGAACTACAAACTGAGCTATCTCAACTGATCTGTGGAGTAAGTAATTGCAAATAGTTAAAAAGCTGATTAAGGAAAAACAAATCTCCGCTATATTTTTTTTAACTTCACTATTTTGTCCTTTAGATTGCCTTTTTTTCTCTCCATTAGCTGAAAAATCTGTCACCTTGGCAACAAAGAAATAGGATCTGGGACTGAGAAGATGTCACCCTGTAGGTTAATGGAGACCACGTGTTTTCACTTGCCTGGCCAATATGCATTGCAAGCTCAATCTACCCAAGTTCCAGAATGTAGCCAAAATCTAAATTATTGTTGGATTTTATTTTGCAGCACTTCACAATTTTAAAAGGGGAATTTAATGGCAAATGAGACAAGCTATTGCAAATGTTGAGAGCAACAAAAAGTTAATGAGGCTCTTGCTCATATTGAATGCTAGTTGTGCTTAAAATCTACTGAGGCAATAGGTCCCCAAAAAAGAGACAAATCTTTGCCTTGCATGTTTTGGACCACCAGGTGCTTACTTGTAGGCAAAACCAGCCCCCAAAGACTGGAAGGAAGCACACTGTATCCTCATGTTGTGATTACATTGTATCACTGTCTCCAGTGTTAACTTAGTATGCAATACACTGAGTACAAGAGAATCCCAGAAGATTATATCCATGTGTGCCAAACACAACAATCCTCTTCAACTCTGGGAACACTGTGCTGCCTATTTGTATAAATTATATTTTATGATTTTTTTGTTTTTTTAAATCATTGGGAATTTTTTTTTTTTTCTCTCATCTTTAGGCAGTGATCCTCTTGGAGATGCAAGAGGCTTATCTGCTGCTTCTATTCTGAGGGAGATGTATACTTTCAGATTATGTGAGGGGAGTATAGTTTTAACCTTCTTTTAAATCTCGTCTCCAACATTCACCATTGTCATGTTTCAAAATCTGACTGAATATTATGGCAATACTATATTGGATATTACCACTAGGGTGCTGCTCTACTATAGGTATAGATATGTCATTATATTAAGATTATTTTTCCATTGAATCTTTGACAAAAACAGTGCCTCTGAGAATGTATTACCATTCTGTTGAACACCTGTGAAATCAGAAGAAGTAGGGGCCTACCTTGCCTCATATACACATTGAAGGGTAGCATTGTTATGGGCATGTGCATATATAACAAGTTTTAGAATGAAAAGTTGTATTTCTTAAACTGTGTACTTTGTCTTTAAGAGATTTTGCAAACTGACAAGTTGTAATAAATGACCTCTTACCCATATTCATTGAATATGGTGTTCAGACTTTAGGATGCCATCTTGTCCTAGGTTAGTGTAATTGCCAGGGAATTTTCCCATGTCATGTGCACCCTTACTTTTTAGCCTTCACGTAGATGCTGTTCCCATGTTAAAAAAAAAAAAAGCCAAGTAATGGCCTTGTATCTTTGCCAAGTTAAGGTAGGTCCTAAAATGACTTAATTGAACATCTATGGTATAAATGTGTACTTATTAATATTAGGACATAGACGAGAGATTTTGGAGAGGGACGTTGCTCCATTTTATCATGATTGAGATGTTCTTATTCAGGAGGGTGTTATTCTATTTTACTGTTATTGCAAGCATATACTTTAATCTTATAAACTGATATATTGTAATGTATTACGTTTTTATGTCTATATATTTCTATTTAATAAAAATAATTTTAAAATAAAACTTTATTGCTCATGGTCACCAATACCTCCATCCAAGCAGACAAGTCAGCAGGAGCGATCGTTGCAGAAAAAATACAAACCTAGTGACCATGGCCTTTGAAAACATACTGGTGCAGATGTAATGTCTGTCTTGGGTCCTCTTCAACCAGGCTTGTGAGTTACTGCCCTGTGTGTTTTAACTCAAATTTTACTATTAAATATATCTATACTAATTTTCCTTAGTGTTTAGGGCACCTCCACATAACTAGTGATATGAGAAGCGTTCCAGCAACTGCCATGGAGGAATTCAAAGATGGCTGTGCTGTGAATCTAGACCCAGCAGGAATAACAGATCACTAATATTTGTGTGGTAGCCAGGCACAGACCTGTTGGCAGCTTAGGAGAGTAAAAGAGAGGCTGGGGGTCTAGAGCAATTTTAAAAAATGTTTTGTTTGTTTTCCACCTGCTAGTACTTTAATTTCTTTCTTTTTTTTTTCTCCTTTTCTTACCCATCATGCTTGCTTTGCCAACATTTACTTTTAATGAATAAAACAAAAGCACAATTTTAACCAATCTAACCGTCATTTATGTATTTTCATTCTTCAGGATTGGTGTAAGTAACCTCAATAATGGTCAAATGAGCCACCCATTCTATTGTGGACAGACATTCACTGTTAACTAAAGTAAAAATTGGCCAAAATTCAAAGTGAGTTTAAAATGTAAGGCCAAAATAGTTTACGTTGTAAAATCAAATACCAATATATTGTTCAAATTCACTATGAATTCCTGACAATCTCTGTATTTTAATGAATAATATATAAATAAATAATACAGAGCTTTGGTTCACAGGGGATGGATTATGAGGTAAAAAGTTAGCATATCTGGTTTTCTTTTCGTCAGACACTGGCTTGTCCGAGAGCTCAAATTTAATCTGTACTGTAATCTGGAAAGTGGGTTTTCAGCAAAGTGATTATCTATTGTATATCAAGATATGTTTTGAACATAAATCTGCATAATTTAGATCATGGCTGTCTTCCTTCACTAGGCCCTAGTACAAGTTGCTGACATGTTAAAAACCACTATAAGAAGCACATAATTATTTTGGTTTTTTTTTTGTACTGGCAAAAGTAAGTGTATTAGTCCACTTGTCTGCTGTCCATTTCAACCCAATTGTTGGCATGTGTACACTTAACATGTTAATCACTTTTATTTAATCAGGGGACCAATGTTACAGTAATCCCTGATTGTCCTTAGGGAGATTACAAATGGAACACTACATGTGCCATCGATATCACACATTTAACCCCTTAAGGACACATGACACGTGTGAGATGTCATGATTTCCCTTTATTCCAGAAGTTTGGTCCTTAAGGGGTTAAACAGATCAAGAAGTTGGAATGTATCCACTACACCTTTGATAAGGTCTTTTTTTTTTTTTTTTTAATGACTCATGGTAGTGGGAGTTGTAGTCCAGCAGTCCAAAAACCTGAATATAAGTCCCAATGGCCTTTAGTATTCCAAAACTTGTTATTTTAGTAATAATTATCCCCCCAGCTGGCTGGCTGCAGACACCCATTATTAGCCAGGCAGGGTGGTGGGGGCCTTGCCCCGGCCCGGTGAGGTGGTGTTATATTAATGTTATATTATATTAATGTTATATATATATATATATATATATATCTATCTGCCGGGGGTATTTCGCGGTGGGAGGGCCCACGTTACACACATCTCCCCGCCTCCCATTACCGCCAAAAGGCGCCCAGTGAGCGAGGCTGTCCGTGCGGCCCGCGCTGTGTGTGTGGGGATATTGAGCGGGGGGCCGGGTGTTACTCGCGGTCTCCCCCCATGGACGGAGGCTGCCGGCCGAGCTGGCGGTGAAGGCAGTGTCCCAGCCAGCCGCCCCTCCTCTCGGCCGTGTCTGTGCGAGCTGGAAGATGGCCGCCGTGATGGCGGAGCAGGAGGCGGCGGCCCACAGCTGAAAGGCCCGGCGGGAGCAGGTAAACAGACCGAGCGGCCCCCTCCCCCCAGGCTGGGCCGCGGCCTGCACGGAGCATGGGGGCCTGAGCCTGGGCCTAGCGGGAACCGGGCATCCAGGGAACCGGCCTCCTCCTCATATGGACATCACTCACTGTGTGTTATTATAATACACCGGGGGGGGGGGACAGCACTCTGTTATTATAA